GCAGTTTTCTTCATAAGAATCCTAAAAATATATAAATGTTCAGTATCCATGAAACCATGAAAATGGCCAATTAGATATAATAATGTATATATACTATATTTATGTATTACATAAATATTGTATATTTTATATTTTGGCTGATTAAGCCAAAAATTTGTCACTTTTTTACTTAGTCTTTTCTTACTGCTATACTAATTTTTCCATTTCTCTTTCATAGTTTTAAATGATAAAAAAAAATTGATTAAAAAAAAAAACAATGGCATAACTACTGCCATATAGAGTTGCAACTGCTGCTAAAACTAACCTACCTGCTTTGTCTCTGACAAGACCTCTCTAATGGCAGAACACATGTCGTCATCAAGTGCAGCCTAAAATCTATAATCTATACCCGAGTGTAGATTATACACATATGTAGTTTTTAAGCATTTTGGATAAAATAGATACTAACAAAATGTCATGTTTATGTTGATCCATAACTTTCCATGGTAACTTTTATTGGAAATTGTTTTAACAATATAAAATTGATCACTCTCTACTTCCTCAGTGAAAAGCAAACTGCTGTATGTTGTATAAAAAGTATTTTATTTCAAAATTGAATGAATAAAAATAGGTTTTTGTAATATTTGTTCTTGTATCATGATTAATTTGTTTTTTAAACTAAAATATGAGTGCTTTTTAACAAATTATTTCAATTTTAAGAACAAAAGATTTTTTGAATAAAACAGACTTAAGAGAAAAACCATCAAATATGTTATTCAAAATGACCCTATAATTCACCAATCTATTTGTAGACAGTTATAAAAAGACAGCTTATATTTCCCTTAACTGAAATGCTTGGAACTAGAAATATTTCAGATGTGGGAATTTTTGAGATTTTTTAATATCTGCATGAAAATTACCAGTTAAGCATCCTGAGACTGAGCCTCAATATCACTCTCAGAAAGTTTCAGATTTTGGAACATTCTGGATCTCAGATTTTGCATTAGGTATATTCAACCTCTGCTAGAATTAGAGATATATATTACAAAATTATGAAACAAAGAAGAAATATATAGTTTATTTGTTTTTTTAAATTTTTTAGTTTTAGATGGACACAATGCCTTTATTTTATTTATTTTATTTTTAGGTGGTGCTGAGGATTGAACTCAGTGCCTGACACATGCTAGGCAAGCACTCTACCACTGAGCTATAACTGCAGCCTGGAAATGTACAGTTTTAAAGTCATCTGATAATGTAATAAAAAAGATCCATGTAATGAAATTCAGACATAATTCAGTTTGTTTGGAAATCAAAGGATTCTTTTGTTTTGTTTTGTTTTGTTTTCCTCTCCTTTTTTAAGTGGTATTTGGGATCAATCCCTGAACTTAGTACATGCTAGCCAGGCACTCAACCACTGAGTAAAGGATTCTTACATTTCAGGCAAATAAATATTTCCCTTTCTAAGGGTATATTTTAACATTAGGCTCCTGTGTGTGTGTGTGTGTGTGTGTTTTCTTTAACACTGCTAAGAATTTTAACTTTTAGAGAGATGTCACCACTTTGAGGTCACCCCTTTAGTGCATTAGTGCTGGTTCATGTTATTAAAAAATAAAACATCATAGAAGAAAAGGATAAAGTCCATACACAAAGGTGGCACCATATGCTCAAGTTTATTGTACAGTCACAAGTTACACATGGGAAACTAAGCAGAACACTGTATCAGCTTTCACTAACTCAAACCAAGTTAGCAAATGACAGATTTGAGGAAAAAACTCATTTCATGTCTCACCCAATGTGGGTGATCACAAGAGAAGCTAAATAAAGATGATTACTTTCTGTGTTACTTAGGTAGCAAATTATTTTGATATATACAGCTTCCAAGTTACCTTAAGATATTTCAAAGTGTTTCAAAGCTGGTAAGGAACAGTTCATATTCAGCCTGAAATAAACCATAGAATGGAGTGTTTAAGGGCAAATAACTTCTTTGTACATCCACAGCAGAAACATTCTTTCCCACTAACAGAAATACTACTAAATCTCTGTTCTTTAGGCTTACTAAATTAATGATAAATTTGATATTAGCTAGGTTTGGTTACATTGTTATATTGCACTTGATAACAATGACAACGAAAACCACCAAAGATTCAACACCTTTTCCAAGAAGTTCATTAGGTATCAGAAATTACAACAAAATACAAGAACATATTCCATGCTGCACATCCAAAAGTTCATTGTTCAAACTCATCATTCGACAAGTTAAAAGGAAATTTTTCCAAAGCACAGATATATTAATTAATTTCATTTACTTTTTGGATCCCATAATTAATTTATCAGATTTTTTTTTGTTGTTATTTATCAAATTACTACATATGCAAGTTATCCAAGAGTACAAACAAGCTGACACTGAGATAGGCAATGGCCACACCACAGGTATAACAACAACCTCTTCTTGTCCATCTGGCTCATCAACATAGTAACGTATATCAACTTCACATTCTGTTTGCTTTACAAAAACTAGCTGATTTGCTATATACTATAAATGTGCCCCATAAATCTCTTCTTAGGGTCATGATTCAATATCAAAAATCTTTCTCAGCTCTCTTAAAGAAGCCAGTAAACTCTCTTTTATCAACACTTGGATTTTCTCTTTATATAAGTATAAATATGATATTCACGAGAATTAATTATGAATAAGTAATTTCATAACACAGGCATAACTGTGGCAATGACATTCTAATTTGTTTACCTTTTACAATGACAAAGAATTGATCGGAATTTATGATAATTGATCATAAAAGAAAGGAAAATGAAAAAAGTGACCCTCACACAAATTTTCTTAAAATACCAATTCCAAAATAAATACCCTAAAAAAGAAACCAATATCAGTATCAATATTTCTCAACTATGGCAAATGGTTTTAATATCTTCTAACTCGTTTTTTAAAAATTCTCAGATTAATGAGAATTTTCTACTTTGAAATTAATTTTAATTTTCAATAAATCACAAATACGGTAGTACTTGAAATGTTTGACAACTAAAATAGATTCCATAGAACTATTTTTTTATTATTATTTAGTCAAATATACAAGGAAAGGTAGCAGAATACAACAGTCACTAATATGCCATTATGTAAAAATGTGAGTGTGTAACCGATGTGATTCTGCAATTTGTATTTGGGGTAAAAATAGGAATTCATAACCCAATTGAGTCAAATGTATGAAAGATGATATATCATGAGCTTTGTAATGTTTTGAACAACCAATAAAAAAATTAAAAAAAATATACTCATGTGCCACTTTAGGGTAATAATCCCAACATTTTCCTCAGAATAGACTTTCAAATTATACTCCATATTTTTGTAGAGATATATGTGTTCATTTTTGAAAGAAAATCCATACTATTACCTAACACTACATTTCATAAAAGCAATTTAAAACATCTTGTTAATTTCCAACTACAGCATTTTTCAATCTCCAATAGAAATTCCTTGAGATAGAGTTCATAAAAGGAAAAGACTAAATGAAAGCAAATACTAATACCTACTGAAGAATGAATTTCTATTCAAAGTATATTTTTATGAATGACAGCTCTTAGATGGAAAAACAGATATGGAAAAAGTTGCTATAGACCAACTTAGTGACTGCTTGGTGGTAGGCAACACTTGGCCCTAGGATAAAAATATTTTTTTCTTAAAAGAATTTAAATTTATTGGCAATAAAAATACTTATTGCATATGATTGAGATCTTTCAAGCTACTAATAAATTCTACATTCCAAAACCCATTAATTTTAAAACTCACTAAAGCTAAATATAAGGTTTTTTCTGTGTTCTAACTTGCATCTAAATGTGGTTCTACTTTGTGAATATATTCTCCAGTTCAGGTCATCCACTTGTGCTTATATAACACAATATGGCAAGATAAATTGCAATTATTTTTAAAATACAGAAAAAAATAGTCAATTATTTAAGGGAAATATTTATCATTGCCTAATGAGGACAGCAGTTAAAAAGCTACTAAAGTCTTAATTTCTTGAGTACAACATGATGTAATTGCACAAAATAGGGATAATTAAAAGTCATCCCTAGGCCTTGAGGAACTGTGAATAAATCATACATTCCACCAGAAGATTCATCACCCTGCAGGCATATAAAACTACAATTTGCTGCCTATGCTGCTTTTATTAAAAAAGTAATTTCTGTTAAAAAAGAAAAAACTTTAGAAAGCTTTAAAAGGTTTTCAATAAAAAAAAAATTTAAAAGGTTTTCAATAAGTTGAACAGCTTATAAAAATACCTTTTTGTAGTTATTCTGATAACTGAGACTGGTTTTGCACATTACCTTGATTAAACTGAGGAACCACCCATGGGAGTAGCGTCATGCTACTGCTAGAAGTAAACCATGGAGCTACCTGGAGAGTTTTGATCTCATGCATTTCTCATGGGGTGGGAATGGGGATTCAGGTTCCTGTCTGTAATGAAAATGATCTTGACCCGTTATTGCAACAATTTTAGAAATACAAGGAAAAATACATATATAGGAGGAAAATAAATTAATAACTAAAGACTCCACTCTAATCTAAGAACATACTATTAATAAAGTAATAGTCTTTTAATTAAAATGCTTTCTTTAAGTGTATTGTAAATAGCCAGATGAAAACAATGGGATAGATGTGCTTTGGAAATGATTTCCAACTTCGTATGGCTTTAACCATCCGGATATTGAGCTGAAATTACACTATTACATACACAAAAAGGTATTTTTGAATACAGACTACATTTTTATATAGGTTGGCTTAAAGGATTTCTTGTAGGACTTAAACTATACAAATTAAAGTAATAAAACAGATTAAGGATTAAATATAAATAAAAATTAATCACATGTACCCAATTTTCATATTAAAACATTGTACCATTATTATTACAGAAAAAACTTCTCCCCAGGGCTGGGGATTAAACTCAAGGCCTCACACATGCTAAGCACATGCGCAACCACTGAGCTAAACCTAAACACCCAGTTTCCAGGAAATAATTCTGGTGGTATCATTAATTTTTTAAAAAATTCTATGTAACAGATATTAAAATCCAAGTTCAGGTAATTACAAAGCTTTTAGTAGCTTTACAAGTCAACTGTAGTGTAATATGTATTAAGTACCTGTACAAAAAAAAAAAAAATGTGAATGCTAAGGTCCAAATTTAGATTGCTTTAAAACAACAACAATAAACAGCAAAACCCAAAATACTAAATCAGAAATGAAAATTGTAATAGATACTATTTTATATAAAGTAGTAACTGAGGCACCACCTGTGTTATGTACATTGAATAAAAACCATCATGTGAAATTTTATTATTTAAATATCTAGGGCAATGTATGTGTATTAACCTGTCTGAACTTACTTATAAAGAGAAGGCCAACAAATATTGCTCTCAATTTTGTGGTTAGACGGAAGTCACTGAGTACCTTCAGCAGAAGTCTTATAATTTTATTCCTCATGAAGGAAATTGAACTCTACAATCAATCTGGTAATTCTAGTGATCTGGGATGCAGTATAACTTAAAAATCACAGTTAAGTTTCTGAGTTTCCTTCACCATTTTCATGAGGTTGAAGCTGTTCCCTTTCCTGTTCTTCTTGAGGTGGCCGAACACGTTTAAAAAAGCCCATCTGTCAGTTGAAGTAAAAACATTATTTTCACATCAATATAGAAAACTAAAAATATTTTTCCATATTTTCCTTAGTGCGTTATAATTATACCAAATAGTGAGATTTACTGATATATAGTCATAGGTGCACACAATATAACATGATAATTTGTTCAATATTATTCCCCAGGATCACCCCTTTCCTAGCTCTCCTCCCTCTTCCTAGTTCCTTTCCTAATTCCTACTGGTCCCTCTTCAATTTTCATGAAATCCTCTCCCCAAAAAAATACTTTTTCAGTGACTATATTATAACCAAGAAAATTTACATAAAACTTTATGCAATTTCTCTTCCTTTAAATAAGTCATATAATTATGCCACTTTCTTCCTTCCCTTGTTTCTTTTTAATCCTTCTTTCTCTCCCTCCCTCCCCATTTTCTTCTGTTTTCCTCCCTCCCTTCCTCCCTCTTTCTAAGTCCATTACGTACCCTGTACATTACGAAAACTAAGACAGCCAGCAACAGCAATCCTGCCAGAACTGCTAAAATGATCACCCACACAGGCACAGGCATGGGAGCTGGCTGGATGCCCCAGGTGACATTAGTGGTAACCTGTCAGGAAAATAAAAAAGATCTTTAGTCTTAAAAATAATTTATAGATGACTAAGTAGTTGGGTGCTGTTAAATTTTATTTTAATAGTAATCACACTGAATGCTTTTTTTGCATACAATAATTTGGTGGTCACATGTTTTGTATCAAAATATAAATATACACATAAAATTCTCAACAATAGAATAATTTCCAATTGCATCTAAAATGATTTCTAAATATTCCAGTCCAGCCATTTATGTATGATGGCTGATCTCATTTTCAATCCTCAAAAATCTTCCAAATGCCTTCACTTGTTGCAGTTAATTTCACACTTTCTAATTTAATGGGAAGAAAATATCCTTAAAAATCCCCCACATAATTTAGTATACACTAAAAACTCTCTTATATAAGACAAGATGCAACAGTGAAAGGACCAGTTTTGATAAATCTAGGTTGGAATAGTAGAATAATAATATTTTTTAAAAGGTCATAATCCTATCAAATAACTCTTCCATTACTTTAAATATCAAAATAGTTGAAGTGCCATTAAAAAATAAAAAAATGTTTTTAAACATTTAAGGCCTTTGAATGGAGTATATTTACTCTATTTCCCTAAACCAATAACTTACTAATGTAGAGTTGAAGATATCCTCAATTGGAAGGTTTTTGTAAGGAAACTCTATGACATTAAATGAAGCAGATGACTTCAGAGAATATGAATGATTCTGGTTTTCCTTCTGCATGGAAATAACAAAGAGATGATTTTCCAGATGTCAGACCTTTTTGATTGGAAAAAGAAAGTGGAAAAAAAGTGGATAAATCTGCTGTTACATCTGTCTACTTACATTCATAAAGGTCTCAGTCCACAGTAAAGACTTCACATACAGGATTGCACTCTTGCCTCTGTCTAGTCGCCCAACCTGGCAGACAATCCTCAAGCACTGAGCAATTCCACAACCCTGTCAAAACAAATGATTTACTTACCCCGAAAAAGGGGCGTTCTACAATCTCTGCAACATTTAAATATTAGACATTGTATTTTATTATTTTTATGTAAAGGCCAAAGAGACTAGATTCGTTTGTCTTGTGGAATTAATGCTTAAAATAATTAGGCTAATAGTTAAGACCGATTTTTGTAATGAAGAGGTTGGTTTTAGTGTGATTGATTATAGAAGGTTAAAACCTATAACTTAAAAGACTTGTTTTTACAGCTAGAACTCAACATTCCTAAGGTGACACCAGAGCATGATAACAGATCACAATATCCCAGTGCAAAAGAAAAGGAGAGCGAGTGAATTTTTAGAGGTTATTCTATGTCAGGCCTGTAGAAATCTAATAGCAAGCTGATGACCTCTGACACACTTGATGTTTTTAATCAATAACAATTTAATCAAAATAACTTGAAGGCTGGTAACCAAAGAAAACAAATATATATCACCTTCTGTGTACCTGTCACAGTGCATTAAACAGATCACATGCATATACCTCATAGCAATTGCTATCTAATAAGTGGTACCACCAATGAATGGACAGGAACAGAAGTGAACTCCCTAGATCTGACAAAGGGCATCTACAAATTCCCACAGCTAACACCACTCTTAATGGTGAGACACTGGATATTTGTCTCTAAGACTACAAGCAACACAAGGATGACTTCTCACTCATGCCATTCCAGTCAACATTGTATGGAAGGTTCTAGTCAGGACAATTAGGCAAAAAGAACATAATGAAAGAATGAATAAAAGTTCTCTCTTCGCAGCTGACAACATCTTATACATAGAAAACACTAAATAATAATCCCCAAAACTAATAAAAGCTAACAGGTACAGAAAAGTATAAGACACAAGATCAACATAAAAATATAAGCAATAAAAAATCCAAAAAGGAAATTAAGAATTTTTTTTTAAAAAAACAGCATCAAAAAGAACAACATACATAGGAATAACATAACTAATATCTACATAAATGCAAGAATAGTACAATGAAAACAACAAAATATTACTAAAATCAAAGAAAAACTAAATGAATAGACAGCTAGTGTTCAATGATGTAAAAACATGATATTTTAAGATGGTAATACCCTTCAAGTTTCTGATCAGGCTCAACAAAACTTCTCTCAAGATTTCAATGACCTTTATTTGAAGAAATGGATAAGCTCGTCCTACAATTCATATAGAACTGCAAAGAACCCCAAGGAGCCAAAACAATCTTGCAAAAGAAAAAAATATTAGATGGTTCACACTTCCCAAATTCAAAACTTACTGTTGCAGAGCTATGGTACTCCAAACAATTTGGCTTTGGCATCAAGAACACACACATGGGACAATGGAATAGAACTGAGAAAGCAGAAGAGGGATTACTAGGGACAGGGAAGGGTGTGATATTAGGGACAGCAAAGGGAGAAGAGGGACATGATCAATGCACAATGTGTGCATGTATGGAAATATCACAGTGAATCTCAATAGAGTTAATATGTGTTATAATAATGCAAAAAGTAAAATGGGATTGTAATAAACCCAAACATATTTATGACAAATTTGTCTTCAATAAGGATGCCTAAACCATTTATCTTTTCAATAAATAATGCCCAAACAACTAAGCAATTACATGCAAGGAATAAATCTGAACTCCTACCTCATGCAACATACAAAAATTAACTCAAAACAAACAGATGTAAATATAAGAGCTATAGGAATAAAATTTGGAAACCTAGATATAAATTTTATAACTTTATCCTTAATGATGGTTTTATAATTTTTTTGGGGGGGGTAGGACCATTGAACTCAGGGACACTCAACCACTGAGCCACATCCCCAATCCTATTTTGTATTTTATTCAGAGACAGGGTCTGTCTCACTGAGATGCTTAGAGCCTCACTTTTGCTGAGGCTGGCTTTGAACTTGCCATCCTCCTGCCTCAGCCTCCCAAGCCAGGGATTACAGGCATGTGCCGCCGTGCCCAGCTATGGTTTTAAAATAGAATGAAAATATAAGCAACAAAAGATGACAAAGATAAATTGAGCTTCTTATATTTAAAAACTTTTGTGCATCAAAGGATGCCATCAATAAAGTGGAAACTCATACAGAATAAGAGGAAATATGTGCAATCATATATCTGATAGAGATGGTATCCAGAACATATAATGAACTCTTTGCAACTCAATAATAAAAGGCGGGGGGAAACACAACAGACACTAGTATGGCAATATGTAAATCAATGGATGTGTAACTGATGTAATTCTGCAATCTGTATATGGGGTAAAAATGGGAGTTCATAACCCACTTGAATCAAAGTGTGAAATATGATATATTAAGAAATTTGTAATGTTTTGAACAACCAACAATAAAAAATTAAAAAAAAATAAAAGTGGACAAAGGATTTTAACAGACATTTTTCCAAAAGAGATATACAAATGAATATGCTCAGCAATGTTAGTCAATAGGGAAATGCAATTAAAAACCACAATGAAATAGTGCTTCACACCAAATGGGATGATTATAAAAAATTAAAAGCAATTAAACAAAACAAGACAATGACTAGTAGTGGAAAAGTTTTAGAGAAATTGGAAGCATCATATATTGCTTGTTGAGAACGTAAATGGTTCAGACATTTGTTTTGTTTTGAGACAGGTCTTGCTATGCTGCCCAGTCTGATCTTGAAATCTTAAGCTCAAGTGATCTTCCTGACTCAGCATCCTGAGTGCTGGGATCTACTTTGGAAAACAGTTTCTTCAAAAAGTTACACACAAAATTTCTAAATACCCCAGTTGTCTCATTCCTAGGTTTATTCCCAAGGGAACTGAAACACATGTTCACATAAAAACTTTTGCATGAATATTCACAGCAGCACTATTAAAAACAGACAAAAAAGTAGAAACAATCTAAATTTCCATCAAATCAATGAAAGAATAAACAAAAGATAATATCTACAAAGTGGAACATTATGCAGTTATAAAAATGAATGCAGTACTCACACATGCTACATCAATGAATCTTAAATGCAAGAAGCCAAACACAAGAGAGCACTTATTATACGTTGCCATATCTATGGAAAGTCGGGAATAGGCAAATGCAGGATTGAAAACAAATTAGAGGTAACCAGGAGCTGGTGGTAAGGGAGAATGGGAAGTAACTGCTTAATGGGTAGATAGATCCACTTCTTTCTAGGGTGACAAAATATCTTTTGGAATTACAGTGATAATGGTTGTCTAATGTTGCGAATATACTAAAAACCACTATATCATATACTTCAAAATGGTTAACGTGATAAATTTTGTGTTACTGTAAGTTTTATCACGATTTTTAAAATTATAGTTTTATAGTTTTCATTTCATGTGGATTGGTCAGAGATAAATTATGACAGAGGTGTCATAATTTGACATGCTAGCATTCCAGAAAGAAATGGGTAAATGTGTCACAGGGCTATCTGGACAAAAATCATTTTAGGAACTGCAAGAGCAGTTTTCAAAATCTGGAGGTAGAAACATGCTGTGGTGGTTCAATGAAAAGCCAGGTGGGCACGTAATCACAGGGGGCAGGCAGGGAGGAAGAGCCAAGTCATGATAAGCTTAAAGGCTTTGTAGGCTCTGGGGTTTTTTTGTTTGTTTTTAATTTTCTTTTCAGTTAGATGGGAAGGCATTGGAGAGACATAACCTGACTTATATTTGAAAGAATCACATGGATTCTATGTGATGAATAAACTGTAGAGGGAAGAAGGAAAGTATTCAGGGACCGAGTGAGGATTTAACAATAGTCGAAGCAAGAGAAGGGATCAGATTCTGAATTATTTGAAAATAGATACTAACTGACTTGGCTGAAATGTAAGATGTGCGATTTGAGAAAAAAGAGTAGATGCAGGTTTGAACAGAGAATGGAGTGGATATTTACTCAATATGGATCACTACGGAAAGAGCAGAGTTCAGAAAATTCCAGGGTCTATTTTTATTTTTTTTCTTTTATTACAGCATTATAGTTTTATATAATAATTGGGTTCATTTTGACACAGTCATGCCTGCATGGAATTTGATTTAATCCATTTTAGTCCCAGGAACTCTTCCTTTCCTTCCCTTCCTCCTTCCTCTACTTTGTTCATCTTCCTTTCACTCACTTATTTATTTTTGATTGGTACTTTATAGATATACATAAAGGAGGAATTCACTGTGGTATATTAACACATGTACACAGAGTAGGTTTGTCAAATTCATTCTGCATTTCCTCCCCTTTCCCATCCACTCTCCCTCCCTCTTGACCTCCGTCTAACCCCACTGGTCTTCCCTACATCTTTATGATATTCGACTTCCCACTTTTCTTCCCTTACTTTGTTTTAGCTTGTGCATACAAAAGAAAATGTTTGACCCCTGATTTTCTAAGTCTGGCTTATTTTACTTAGCATGATGTTCTCTAGTTCCATCCATTTACTGGCAAATGCCATAATTTCATTCTCCTTTATGGCTGAGTAAAACTCCATTGGGTATATATAACACATTTTCTTTATCCATTCATCTATTGACAAGAATCTGACTGGTTCCATAATTGGCTATTGTAAATTCTAAGGCTATAAACATTGATGTGGCTATATCACTATAATATGCTGATTGTAGTTATTCTGGATAAATACTAAGGAGTGAGATAGCTAGGTCATATGGTGGTTCTATGCTGGTCTTTTTGAGGAATCTCCATACTGCTTTCCTGAGTGGTTGTACTAATGCACAAACCCATCAGGAAGTATGAGTGTTCCTTTTTGCCCACATTCTCACCAACATTTACTATTATTTGTATTCTTGATAATTATCATTTTGATTGGAATAAAATAAAATGTCAGTGTAGTTTTGATTTGCATTTCCCTGATTGCTGGAGATATTGAGAATTTTTTCATGTATTTGGTGGCCATCTGTGTTTCTTCTTCCTTCTCTTTTTAAAAATATTTATTTATTTAGTTGTTGTTGGACACAATACCTTTATTTTATTTATTTTTATGTGGTGCTGAGGATCGAACCCAAGGGCCTCGCACATGCTAGGTGAGCACTCTACCATTGAGCCCCAACCCCAGCTCTGTGTTTCTTCTTTTGAGAAATGCCTGTTTAGTTCTTTTGCCCATTTCTTGATAGGATTGTTTTTTGATTATTTGGTTGTTTTTTGGGTGTTGAGCTTTTGGGTTCTTTACATATTCTGGATGTTAATATCTGGACAGAGGAATAGCTGGCAAAGATTTTTCTTCCATTTTGTAGGCTTTCTTTTCATGCTCTTAATTATTCCATTGCTGTGAAGAAGCTTTTTAATTTGATGACTTTCCACTATTGATTATTGGCTTCAATTCTTGACCTTTAGATCTTCTTCTTAAGGAAATCAGTGCCTACACCAATATGATGGAATGTTGACCCTACGGTTTCTTCTAACATTTGCAAAGTTTCTAGTATAATTCAATTCTAATTCAAAGTCTCTGCTCCACTTCAATTTGACTTTGTGCAGTGTGAAAGGAATCTAGTTTCATTTTTCCTACATACAGCTATCCAGTTTTCCCAGCACTATTTGTTAAAGTGGCTACCTCTTCTCCATCATATATTTCTGGCATCTTTCTTATTTATCAGATGGCTGGAAGTGTGCGGTTTTGTCTCTGTCTCTTCTATTCCATTCTATTGGAATTCATATCTATTTTCATACCAATACCATGCTGGTTTTGTTACTATAGCTCTGTAGTATAATTTGAGATCAGATATTGTGATGTCTCCTGCATTACTCTTCTTGCTCAGGATTGCTTTGTCTATTCTGGGACTCTTATTCTTTAACATGAATTTTAGGATTTTTGTTTTCGGTTCTGTGAAGAATGTCATTGGTATATTTGGTAGGGATTACAATAAGTCTATATATTGCTTTTGGTAATATGGCCATTTTTTTTTGAACACATAAATTTTTTATACCATTATTTTATTTGTTTACTTTTATGTGGTGCATGCCTGACATGTGCAATGCACTGGGTTCGATCCTCAATACCACATAAAAATAAAATAAAGTTGGGGCTGGGGGTGCAGCTCAAGCGGTAACACGCTGGCCTGGCATGCGTGGGGCACTGGGTTCGATCCTCAGCACCACATAAAAATAAAATAAAGATGTTGTGTCCACCGAAAACTGAAAAATATATTATAAATAAATAAATAAATAAATAAAAATATTGTGTCCACCTAAAAAACTAAAAAATAAATAAATAAATATTTTTAAAAACCAGCTACTATTACTTGTTTTTGGTCTGCATTCGCATAAAATATTTTTTTCCATCTTTTTACTTTCAGTTTATGAGAATGTTTGCCTATGAGATAAGTCTCTTACAAACAGTATATAGTTGGATCTTATTTTTTAATCCATTCTGTCACTCTATACTTTTAACTGGAGAGTCGCAAGCATTTACATTCAGTTGTTATGGATAAATGGTTGTTATTTCCTGCCATTTGTTGTTGTTATTGTTATATTTAATTTGGTCTTGATTTTCATTTAGTTGGTTGCTCTTCTAAGATCTTCATCTATTTTGGAGCTTAGGGGCTAGTTTTTGAGTTCCTCTGTACAGTATATCTTTAAGTATTTCCTATAAAGCTGGCTTAGTTGTCATGAATTCTATTAGTTTATGTCTACCACTGAAAGTTTTTATCTTTCTATCAATTCTAAAAGATATCTTTGTTCAATACAGCAGTCTTGGCTGGCACCTGTTTTCTTTCAGAGTCAAGGTATAATTTTAGAATGAATTTTACTATTAGATGTTTAAGAGAAGTTCTAATAGGTTTGTTGGATATTGGATTCTAGAGTTCAATACAAAGAATTAGGTTAGAAATATAATTCAAATTCTTGTGCACCAGATAGTATTTACAGCCGTGAGACTCAATAAGATCACCTAGTACAGCACTATCCAAAGTAACTTTCCATGATGACAGAAGTCATCAATATAGAGACATGTATGCTGCTTGATAGAAGAGCTGCTAGCTTCACAGGACTGTTGAACTCTTGAAATGTGGCTGGGATCAACACTATCAGTAGTATAACCAGCACAGATCAAGTGAATGAATGTAGGTGAAGCAGAGAAGAAATCTGAGATCTGAGTACTCTGTAGGTTAAACGTCTGAAAATGGACATTAAGGAGCAGCTAGAGGTGGCAGATGGACAACCAGAAGAGAACAGCATCCTAGAAGTAATTAAGTGAGTCAAAAGTCACTGAGTGAGTGAACTAGGTGAAGATGAAGAAGGAACACAGAATTCATATAAAAGTAATTAATGATTGCTACTCAACATAAACAAAATCCAAAGCTTCTTTAATGGGTGGTGGTTTGCAGGTCTGCTAATTTTCAAAAAGTTAACGATGAACTCCTTTAAAGCATAGTCATAGCATGAGCTCACTCAAAAAAATTTAACCATGTTAGTTATTCTAACATTTTCATTGAGGCCTTCTGGGTTCTTTCTACAGTATTATACTAAAACCTCAAAGATCAGGGTGAGACCAAGAAAGAGGGCAGTTAAAAGAAGCAGAATCAGAAAAATAATTTGGAACATAAAATATTCTTATCAGCAAATGACAAATCACTTAAAAATTTGGCATTAATTTGACTAGGAAAAAGAAAATAGGAGGACTGAATAGTTTAAAATATATGTAGTTCTTTCAAGCACAGCTGCTGTTATTTTTGAAATGTTCTTTGTCATCAGTCCTTTAATCACATATTTTCAAATGTTTATAGTTCATGTACTTGAAATGGCACTTACCAAAGTGTGAACATCTCCTTCACTAAGGGCGAGATCTCGCTTTGTGATGAGATGGTTCCGGTCACCTTGCCCAGCAATTGTGTCATTCTTCTCAGCTGTTTGCAAAGATGAGATCTGTATTGCATTGCAAAAAGGTGATAAATAATAATGGAAAAATTTTATATCGACATTTTGACAAAAGGCTCTTATATACGATTATGCATGAAAATTTGGTGTTACAGAAAATTCACCAGTTAATATGTTAAGAAGAGTGAGGGCAGAAAATATAGAGTCTTTAATGTGTCTTTTAAAAATTAGCTATCCCTAGCCATTACTGTCTCTCTCATTGCAAAACTAAAATGGAAATGGATGAAAATACATAGAAACAGCCTGAAATTCTAAAGTACATCTGTGATGAGTATGAATTTTGAGCATATTTTTTAGTTTTCTTAACTTTCCTTGAACCATGTTGGGCAATAGCTTCTTACAGAAATTTATGTTCTAGGATGATGATGACTATGTCTTAGAGCATATTTTTATATTCTATAAAATGATATTTTCATAGGTCATGTAAATTAAGAAAATCACAAGCAAAATGGCATATCTTATTCCAAAGATACAAATTCCAACAAAAGAACAGTCTTCAAACAATATTATACACTGGATAAACTAAGATGTGATGCATCCACGGTCAAATCAACTCACTTAAGAGTATCTTCCAAGGCTTAATAAACACTCCATAAATGTGGTTCACTAGGACTTCACAGAATTCATTATTAACCATTTTACAAATAATCTAATTCTTAGTGTACTGGTTATGAATTATAATATTTGGGCAAAGCCTATGCCATAAAATAGCTGTTCTATTCATGCATTCCACAGGTTTAATAAGAAAGCAATAAAAAGTAATCATAATGAAGAGCTGCTTAATAGCTTGGTTACCTTGATTCTCAAAGGGTTGATCTCCATATCTGAAGTACAGTTCATTGGCCCATCGATGTCATAATGAAGGATGTACAACAAAGTGTTGTTGTTATATTTATAAGGCCACTGAAGATTTAGCATGGCTTTGCTGAATGAACTGGGACCATTGTTTCTCAGCTAATGAGGAAAAGAAATGTAAATACCTTGGGCAAAAATTTATTCTATAATCCTTCCCATGTGCCAACTTCAGAAATCATATCAACAACAGGATTTGAGTAATAGCAGAGTTGCCACAAATAGACTCTAAATTACAACATAATCTTATACAAAGAATATCAAACTCAACATTTGTCTCTAGAGTAACAGGTATCAGGATGAAAATATAAACAAAAGAGTTAAATATTAAAGAGTTATTGATAACAAAAATTTTTAACCTATAGAAATAAAATTGTGATTATTTACTGTAGGCATTTTTAATTTTTAGTCAGAACTGCAAAATGCCCATGGGAAAATACCCAATGACCTAATTCTTTTATTCAAGTAGAATAAATTGGTTTTAAATAACAAATTATATCAATTACCTTCTTTAAACACTTAAAGCTTTTTATCTACTAAAAGCAAACTTATAAATAGGGAAAAATTCAAAGAAATATAGGTACACTATAGGTACATACTAAATCTATCCAGAGTTTACATAAAAATTACATAGCATTGATTTTAAAACATAGCTCAGTTGTTCTCTTTGTTGGCTCTCTCACTAGGTTTCCCTTAAATCCAACAGCTGCAAACCTCATAAATGTGCTGAACAACTGGTCCAACATCTTCTTCAGTCTCAGGGTTCTCGTTGTGCTCCCAATTTGGAATCGGAAGAAAGATATGATCAGGACTTGAGACTCTAAACAATGACCAAAGAAAACCTACCATGAATATCAAAATGATATGGTCAGTTCAATTTCAAAACTATGCTGTATTCAAATGAATAAAATTAGACCTAGTAACAAAGAATCTTAAAAAGAAACACTAGAGAATGCACACAGATACTATAGCTGCTATTAAATCTACACATAACAGGTAAATTGGAAAGTCAATTTGTGCAAAATCTCAATAAGCTTATTTTGAGCATATTATTGTCATGTCTTGTTTCTTTTCAGAGGACTGGCAAATAAATATTTGGGGTTTGGGAACATATCCAAGATCTTTTTCAAACAGAATCTCCTGCCTTAGTAAAATGTACCACTAACATGGAGTATTTATGATCCAAAAGAAGGTTGAGCTTCACAGTTACATTTCAAAAGCAATCATGTCAATAGGATACTCAACTTAGTAATCATACTGACCCTCTTATCTCAACAGCAGCTATAACAGCAAGGTCAACTCTGTAAGATACAACTGGGCTTACTTTGTCAAAAAGATTAGAGCTGAAAAAGAAAAAGAACAAATTTAGAACAGAATTGGATAGAAACATCATCAAAATCCTATTGAGGCAAACCCAGCAAAACTAAAAATGAATAGATTCAAAGCAACAAAGAAATGAAAACCTTCTAAGTCAAAACAATTATTTTTTATAGCATTTAATTCCCAGAAGATGATCAAGTTTTATTTTTTAATGTTTAATTTTGTCTTACAAACTCAAAAATTGACAATATTATTCTTAAAATATAAATATTGATTTTAAAAATCCTATAAAGTACTGGAATTTTAACCTATCCTATTCAAAAATATTTAAAGTATGTTATATAATATATCTGTAACACATTTCCTCAATAGGTATTACAAGGTAACACAAGGTGTTTTCATACCTTTGGATTTGTAAATCAAATTTCACAGAAGTATCCATCTCTGATTGCTGGTGAACACTGAATCGAAGACCAGCTAAGAGCTGAAGGAAAAAGGAACAGATGGTAATATTAGTCAAAGTCTAAAAAAAAGTGAGAAATTTCAAATCCAATATCCAAATAAAAACAAATGTTCTAAAACACACTGTTTATAGTAAAAGTGAACACAGATAATTAAATATGGTTTTCTGTTGAATCTCTTATTTAAGATACAATCGATAATGGAACCTATTTAACAACAATTACTAATAATAATTACACCTCCTTGTGATATTAATTATCTTTCTAAAATGTGCAAGTAAATGTTTGTTGATTCAATTAATTAGATACAATGATTTGTGCCTAAGTCTGGCCAGAACCAGAATTGCTCCTCCTCTCACCTTTCACAAACCCCTCAGGTACCAAACATCCTAATTCCTGCCTGTCACAAACAAATGAGTCAAGGTAAAAGAAAGAAGGCTTCTTGGAGATAATACAAATGATACAAAAAAAATGGCACCTCCTGGGAACTGCCTCCTGCTTTCCACTTTGGAAAGCCTAGAGCTGGCAACTTGGAATAACCAGGAACTTTCTACACTGAATGGGCTGTGAGTGAAAGATCTAGAGAAAATACGGTTACAAAAAAATTAAAAAGATGTTCTGTTGTTAACGACAACTTTGAGTACATACAAAGTAAAAGGACTGATCAGAGTATTTGTTCAAGCCCTCTTCCCTAGACACCATGCACGTAAAAACAATGAGTTTTAGAGAAATATACATTTCAAGAAATATGAAATGTTTAGCTCCAGAGTGAAACAGATCTCAAATTGCCAATATTAATGTGTCATTAAATAAATTAATTGTATTGTAAAAGCAACACTATGTAGACTGTCATATGTTTTCCTTTATACTGAAATATAAGAGGTATGTTTTGTTTCCTTTTTAATAGGTTTGGGAAGAGACCCATTGGGTGTTTGCTTCTTTTCAAGCTCCTATGCTCCCTGCTCCACCATCTGAAGGGGCCTGATCCAACTCAATTTCCCTTTGATCTTCTGTGTGGGACCTGTAATACATGGCTTCAAGTAAATAAGTAGATTCTATCTCACCTAAGAAGACAGTCCTGATATTTGCCAGAGTAGTTTTTGAGGATCCATTAAAGCATCACTTTAAAATACCAAAATTAAAATTTCAGTTCCTTTTTTTGGTTTTTGTTTGGGTTTTTTTGTTTGTTTATTTGTTTCTTGCTAGGGATTGAACCCAGAGCCTTCTACATGCTAGGCAAGCACTCTACCAACTAAGCTACCTCTCCAGCTATAACAGTTCCTAATCCATGTTCTCATCCATTTACTAAACTAAAGGCAGCATCAAAAGCAGATTATTGAGTACGGTACAATAGCAAAACTCATTATTTTAGTATCTTGTTCAAACTGAAAAGAACTCTGTTAATTATGATACTCAAAATCAAAAACCAAATTAAAGACACCGTTTTGAAATGTTTTTGATGTTGTTGTTTTAATACTATGAACAAATGCAGAGAACAGCAAAGTATTCTATAATCCACTCGATTAAAATATCTTACTTGAGTTCCAGCCTTCATTGGGTTCCCCAGGTCACATACCACTTGGCGGGTTTGGTTTTCTGTCTTAAATGCACAGGAAAGTCTTGCTAAGTCCTTTGTTAGACAAAGAAAAAGGACGTGAAAAGGAAAATAAATTAATGGCTAAAAAAAAAGTAGAAACCACAAGATTATAAAGTTACAACTGAGTATCATACAGTTAGATATTAAATTTATTTTTTTAGTGAAAAAAATAAATCTCAACAAACGTGGAATAAGAAGTCAGAACTATGTGTGATTGCCACATATAAATGCACAAGTGTTTCTGAAAGATCCCTAGAGGACTTACATACATAACCATAGTTCCTCTGACAAATAAATTGATGGACAGGCTTAGACACTTTATCTTTCTGACCTCATTTTCAGGCACTTAGCAAGCAATTTTTAAAATGTCGTATCAATGCATTATGTAAAGTATTAGGCTTAAAAGGAATTACATAGAATAGGCACTCTATTGTCTAGCAATTCAGCCTTAGGTAGAATGGCTAAGCTGTGTTTCATTAAATAGGGGAGTAGCTCATTAATGTTAATAAGACCTGTGAGTGCATTTCAATTTTTAAAGAGGTAGCTTGCTTACTTCACTGTTTCGGACAACCCCAATGAAATCAGCCTGCGGTGGCATGGAAATGATGAGCTCAGCTTCATAGGCACCTTCTCCTTGATTCTGAGCCTTAACAATCAATGTGAGAGGGTTGTCGTCTCCAATATAGATCTTCTTTTGATCACTGAAAGTTAATGTGAATTTAGACAGTGAAAAAAGACTACATGGGGAGTGTATGGCTGTTCAAAGAAACAAGAGATAAATACACAGACAGCCCCAACATGTTCAACAGTGTCTCAAGATATTTTAAGACTTCTTCACAGTTCAATAGAAAACAGAAAATAGCATACTGGGAGCAAGTCCAACACTTTTCTCTGTAAAAGAAAACATTAATGCCATGATGCCACTAATAAATCACTGGCTTTCATATTTATTACTGAAGTAATTTTATATCTCTGCATGTACTTTTGGGGTGGGGGGGAAAGAATGGAGACTGAACCTAGGGCCTCACACATACTAGGCAAGCACTGAGTTTACATTCCCAGCTATTTTTAAAATTTTGAATCAGGGTATCACTAAATTGCCCAGACTGGCCTCAAACTGGTGATTCTCGGGCTTTGGCCTCCTGTGTAGCTGGGATCACATGTATGTACCACCATGCCTGGCTCAGCATGTATTTTTTTTTTTTTTTTGTGGTGAAGGGGATTGAACCCAGGGCCTTGTGCATGCAAGGTAAACATTCTACCAACTGAGCATATATCCCAGCCCTGCATGTAAATTTTAATCCCCTAATTTTTTTTTATAAAAGCATGATTTTTTACAATAATCTTTTTAATGTATATGCTATAAAACATGGTAAGGATGTGCTTGAGTCAAGAGTATTCCTACAATGAAGTATATCTTTAAGATGACATATTACTTTGTGATAGTATCCAAAGCTAAACGGTCACAAATCTGTCAAGCTAGGCAACTAGTAAAAACAAAGTAGATATTTTTTAAATTCAAGATTAATAGCTTTATTATTATATAAAATCATGTATTACCCCCTAATATAACTAATTCTCATTAAAATATTAGTACTTTGAATAGGAAAATGTGCTCTGTGATTTGAATTTCTTATGGTAATGTTTATTGTTTGGAGCAAAACTTACCTATTTACAGAAACTTCTAGTTTGGGTTTACAGACATTGTCTTCACCACAGTCAAGTAGAATATGAGCCTAGAAAAAAAATATTTATTTATCTACATGAAAAAAAAATATGCAGGTTGCATATGCAGTGTATATCAGTACATATGTGTATAGACATGCATGAACCCATGTGTATTTATATACACTCATCAACTTGTTCATATACCTGAATAAAAAAAATCATTTATTTATAAACAGGTGGGTGTAGCTTGTTAAGAATGAGAAAAAAGAATAATATTAGTAGGATACAACATAACATTTGGACTTTTTAGTTTTATCTCACTTTAATTGCTATTTTGAAATAAAATCTGGTATAGAAGTAATGATTAAAAATTGAGAGATTCATTTTTGTTTTGTTTGATTTGTTTTTTGCAATACTAGGGGTTGAACCCAGTGCTGCTCTACCACTGAGCTACATCCTTGGGTCTTTTTTATATTTTGTTTTGGGACAGGGTCTCACTATATTGCTAGCCTTGAACTTGTGATCCTCCTGCCTCAGCCTCCTGAGTAGCTGGGATTGCAGGGTGTGCACTACCATGCTAGGCTGAAGGTTTTGACTCCGCTTACAACTAAGTTGTGTGAACTTAAGCAATATAAACCCCTAGAATTCCTCACTAAAGAGTGTGCCCTCTGTCAATGTCATGGAAATATGGCTACAAAAGACAAAAGAATAAAGAACGGAAAATATACTGGAGCCATACAACAGGAGGACCAAAGGGGGAAAGAACTGGTCAAAATGATGCAGCATGTCCATGGCCATTTAGAAAGAAAAAAAGAAAAAGGAACCAGAAGTGTTAGAATGACCAGAATAGGTGCAACAAGAAAAATCTGAACTTTTCCTTATCCAGGCCTTTCCAGGAGAATGTGCTGGATAGAACAGTATGGAAAAAAACCCAAAGAGAAATAATGGAAGGTGCAGAATATGTTGGATAAGATGTGAAAACAGGAATATAAAAATTGAGAAAAGAAGGAAGGAAAATTCTTGGTTTGTCTACTCTTAATATCTAAAGGGCTTCATACCCAGAAGCAGATGAAAAGAAGAGAGAAAAGGATTTAAAGGAAAAGAATAATGAAAGGAATCATTTAAAAACAGGTGATGATTGCATACTTCTAAGTCACAAGGGAAGTGCAGTTACCTGGAATAGAATTACTTGATAGGAATGCTAATTGCCAATTTAATTGGGATGAAACCCCAAAATATATGGAATTAATTCAATTACTAGATGCAAGCAGTTGCCATAAGCATCAAGAAAAAAGAAAAGGTCAGGATTGTTAGGAGAATTTATGGTGATTCTGTAAGTCACACAAAGGAAATCACTGCTCAGTTGAGGAATAAAGGGTGAATTTTGTGCATAACAAACTCATGTAAGTTGTGTATCTAAAGTCTGGAATAAGAAATTTGTATAAAAATATTAATAAAACTGTGATAAAAGAACACATAGCTAACTACCACTTTGCAGGGTAGGAAAAGAACTAAGCTGGCACTGGAGCTGTGGTTAAAACATTATCAACAGGAACACAGCATTCCTGAATGACTACAGAATAATTAAGTGACAATGTACAGAAGAAAAGCAACAAACAAACAAATAAACAACCATGTTACCAGAAAAGATAGTTTCAGAAGTGGAAACCCACAAAGCAATGTCTTCTATGTCCAGAGAACCAAATCTCTACAGTTATATACTTAATATCTCTCCTTTCTTTTTTTTTTTTCAACTACTGGAGATTGAACCCAGAGTTGCTCTACCACTGAACTACATCCTTAGCCCTTTTTATTTTTATTTTGAGATGGGGTCTCACTACATTGCTGAGGCTGGCCTGGAACTTATGATCTTCCTGCCTCGGCCTTTAGTTGCAGGGATTACTGGCATGTGCCACCATACCTGGAATTATACTTAATATCTTGGACTAAGCAAGAATATGATATATATTTGAATGAAAAAAAATGGGATAACCATTCCTTCTGCAGAAACCACTGAATCTCCTACTGCAAAAGAGGAAGCTTTTGATCTGCACTAATATAAGTAGCCATGTAGAAGCCAAATGTGGCCCTTGAGCACTTGAAACTTGTCTTGTGTGACTGAGAAACTGATTTTACTTAAAAAACTGATATTGAAATCCCTTAGTAAAAAATTTTTAGTATGTTTAGAATAACTTGAGTATATATATCTTCTTCAACTATAAATTATATGAATTCTAAATAAACAAAAAATTTTTTCAACAAAAATTTAGCATCTGGATTTATATGTATTATAATTGTACAATATATTCTGGATTTTGAAGAAAGTAAAAAAGCAGAATGTAAATAGTTTGCTGACAATTTTTAAATTGCTTACAAGTTAAAATTATAATATTTTGGATATTGTTATGGCTGAATTATGCTTGCCCAAATTGTATGTTGAAGTTCTATTCCTCAGTACCTCAGAATGTGACAGTATTTGAGATACAGTCTTTAGAGAAGTAACTAAAATGATGTCACTAGGGTAGGCCTTAATCTAATATTACTCACCTGTGCTTCTTAAATGATGAGTCTAGGACACAGACACATGTAAAGGAAACACCACGTGAGAACAGAAGAGAAGGTGAGCATCTATAAGCCAAGGAGATAGGCCTTGGAAGAAATCAACCCTCGTGACCCCTTGATCTTGGATTTCTAGCCTTCAAAATTGTGAGAAAATGAACTTATGTTATTTAAGTCCCTTACTCTATGGTACACTGTTGTAGAAGCTCCAGAAAACTAATACATACCTATTATTAAAATTAATTTCTAATAAAAATTAACTTTGAAAGATAGCACAATACTGACTGACAGACCTTAAGAGGCATAGAGATCCACTTCTAAATTGTTAATCAACATAACACTGTACACCTACCAAATTAGACAATATAAACACAGAGCTATATATAACAGGCCCTCTTGAAATAGATAGTATAAAATAACATGTGATTACTGATATACAAAATGGATTATTAAAATATAAAAGTTACAAAACACTAAACTTTTTTTTAAAAACTTTGCTTTATGCTGTAGTTATATAGTCCTCTCAAATTACCCCTAAAAAACCAAAAACCAAATGAGCAAGTTATGAGATCCTTTAAAGGAAAATAAAAAAGAAATGACGAGGGGCTGGGGTTGTAGCTCAGTGGTAGAGTGTTTGCCTAGCATGTGTGAAGCACTGGGTTCAATCTTCAGCACCACACAAAAATATATAAATACAGGTTAAAAAAAGAGAAAGAAAGAAAATAGAAAGGTCAATCTATATTTAGTTTAAAGAATTTTATGGGGAAAAAATATCAATCCAAAAATATGAACATGTTATAAAAGGAAGAAACAGAAAATAACAATATTTAAATATATTTAAATACATGTTTTTCACAGGTTTTTCTAAAATTAAAATATCAATCCGAAGTCTTACGTTCTTGTACTTAGCCTATGTACAGAATGATTATATACTATATATGCATATTGGTGAAATGTGTAAATACATATATACCTATATATATACTTGAAAAACAAAATGTATATTAAAGATGTGTATCAAAGGTATTTAGCAAAATACTAAAACGCTATGTAAAGAATGGAGTTTTGTTGTTTTCCTTGAATTATTTTATTATTTTATGCATATGAAATGTGACCCTGGCTTTTTCTGCACACAACTAAGGTCAGAGTGGATTTAAATATGTCTAACAGGAAAGTTCACATTTCTACCCCTCTGACTTATTTAACTAAACATCTACCAACATTATAAAAGCAATCCCTTATGATATTTAAGAACACAAATTATAAGAACTTAATAAAGATCCCAGTATGTAGCAGGAGCACACTGGGAGAGACAGTACCTGTCGACTGAGGTTAGCAGGGGTGAACTGGTTCAGGATGGGACGCAAGCCTGTGGCATCAGCGGCCGTTCTATAATCCAACCGATACTCCATAAAAATAGTAATTGGAGTAAGTTTGTCTCTAAATTCAGATTCATCCTAGAAATGGAAAATCTTCACATTAAAGATGGTATCAACTTAAAGTATCTGGAGAAATCTACAGGTGCACATCACAAAGCCAGCTAATTCTATGAAGCTAGTCTAATTAATACCTCTACTTTTCCTCATTCATTTAAATTAAATGGCACTGAAGGATATACACTTACATTTACATTTTGCTTCTGTGACATCTAGACATTGTGATATGTAGTATTTTCACAATGATTCAATTATATATTTCCAATATAATCTCTTTTTGACCCTTAAGTTATTTAAAACTACATTTCCTAGGAACTCAATTTCCTAAATTATCTTTTTGCTATTGGTTTCTAAAAACTGTTGTTACCGTTTTTATGTTAAGTGTCCATGTGATAAAGGCCTGGACGCTAGGGAGGCACTACTGAAGAAGTGGGGAAACCTTTAAGAGGCCTGGCCTAGCTAGTGTCAGGTCCTCAGGTCACTGGAGATGCCCTTGAAAGGGACTGTGGGACCCCAGTCTCTTTCTCTTGCTCTCTGCTTTCTGGCTATGAGGTGGGTGGTACTGTCCTGCCTCATAACTTCTTTCAGAATTACTGCTTCACTGCAGCCCCAAAAACTACAGGGTTGCTCAACCAATCATGGGCTGAAACCTTTCAAACCTTTTCTTCTTATACGTTGATTACCTCAGGTATTTCTTATAGTAATGGAAAGATAACACAAGTACATTGTGATCAGATACCATATTTCCTATGATATCTCTTTGAAATGTTTAGATTACCTTTATGGCCTATACATGTGTTGAGGGCCACAGACAAGTCAAGATGGCACCTGGCACTTTGTCAGGAGGAGTGGTTTGAGAAGTAACGCCAGCGAGCCATTAAGATGATGGAGATTCCTTAATGACTGATTGCTGTGTCTAGATTATGTCAATTAAGTTAAGCTGTGTATAATTATTAAGATGATGATTCCTTAATGACTGATTGCTGTAACTGGATGATGCTAAATTGAGTCAAGCTGTGTATTCAGTTATGTATAAATACCTCTGCTGTCCTACAATAAAGCAGCTCCTGCTGTATCAACCTTCACCCCTGGTTATTTTGCCCAGCCAGACTGCGGCATACATGATCAATTTTATTCCTGATCAATTTCTACATTCTCTAATTATTGAGTTTCAGTGCTGAATTCTATATGGGTCTGTGAAATAAACCTGTTAACGATTCTCAATCTTCTAAAGCTTTAGCGATATGTTTGCCTTCTTTTTAAAATTTCCATCTTTTATCTGTGGAAGCAGTTCCCCTAAAATATTCAGATGAATATGAACCACATTCTTTTGTGATATGATTAAGGGAGATCCATGAATATTAGTAATAAGAACTACCTTTGCTTTTTAGATTCATGCCAGACTATGATTTTACAACATCTAAGTAAGTAAGTAAGTATCTTATTAAATACTTACAACAAGAGAAGAAAATTGATATTATTAATACTCCCTTTTTAAGGATAAAGAAATTTGGGTTTTGATAAGTAACTTGTGCAAGGTCACATATTGAAAAGAAGTAGTTACAGGTCACCCTGACCTCCATAGAGTCTTTTCTTTGCATCTTCTCTTGCTGTAGTCAAGATGTACCTCCATCCTAAAGACACTTTAGCTTCATGAAAGCGTCTAGACCTAATGAAGGAGTCTCAGATTGCAGAAGGCCCTGGAGAGTCTGAATCCCTAAGCTGGTGTCTGAAATTCCTACTCACTCTCTCCCCAGTGCCCATCCTTGCCAGCAGATTAGGCTCAAAATTTTGCTTTCAACTCACAATTCAGATTGAGCTCAGGGGTTTAGTTGATTGCTGACTTTTTGGACCCTGGAGATTTCCTTTACTGTCTTGAGTCCAGCAACATTTAATAAATATCCTTATCATAATTCATTCAGTAATATTGTTGTTGAAAGGCCATCTGCAGTCTGCCAGAAGTGAGATCCATGACTTCTACTGTCAGGTTTGACGCTTGAAAGAGCCAGATTTCCTTAAGCATATTTTTTTGTGCTCTTCACTTTGGAAGTCATTTAGTTGAAAATGAAAAAGTAACAATTAAAAAGAAAAGATAACAGAACACAGATGAACTCTTACCCGCAGATATGCTATCAGCTCTTCACACTGCATCTGTCCCCCTCTAGAAATTGTCATGTTCTTGGAGTGACCCGGGGACCTGTTATGGAGAAACAGTGCTCGCCGAATTGCTCCCTTTTGCTTGAGTTTATCCAAAAGAAGCTCCACCTGGAAGTCTATATAAATCAAAGGATTTATAACCAATGTATTCTTTATGGACTTACCTCTGTCCTAGATATCTAGAATTTTCATGTCAACAGAGATATTTATTTCTGAGAAGTGATCTGCTTCAAATTCATTAAAAATATCTTTTAATGAGGGACACTACAACATATTAACACTGAATAAATTTACTATAATAATTAAATAATTAAGCCAACCATCGCCGAAGCAATATCATATGTAATTCCAAATAACAATGGCAGTAAAATATAAAAGGAAAAATTCTTTTAGTTTAAGCTGTAGGAAGTCCAGGGGGTGAAATATATGTGAATTAAGACTTTCACTCTCGGAGGAGGATATAGCTCAGTGGTTGAGTAACTGCTTTAGTGTGCCTAAGACCTGGGTTCAATCTCCAGCATGGGCAAAAAAAAAAAAAAAAAAAACTTCTGCCATTAATCCAAGTGACAAGACTCTTTGTCGATTTTGATTAAGTACTCATTAATTGGAAACCACATCATATTAAAACTATGGTAAACAATTTGTACCAATTGAAATTCCTCCTTTGAAGGAAGCTACCATATCAAATGGTCAGATAAACATGTCCCTCATGAAGTAAGTGACTGTTTGATGGGTTAAGAATCACGTAAACATGACTGTGCAGAGTCGGAAGCACAGTTGTTAAAATTACCACTTTCTAAAATTCAGTTCTTCAAGTAGTTTCTTAAAAGCAGATGAGAGTATGAATTTTTAACACAACAGCTCTCTTTTCAAGTTTCTTTAAATACTGATTGACTTTCATTTCAAATTTAGGTGAAAACTCAGGGCTATTGTGATTCATGTTTGGTTCTACTCAGTCACACTGCTCTCCTTGCAGTCTCTCAAACACACAGACACACTCCTTCCTTGGACTTCTTTTTTTTTTTTTTAGTTGTTGATAGACCTTTATTTTATTTATTTATTTTTATGTGGTGCTGAGGATCAGACCCAGTGCCTCTCACATGTTAGGCAAGTGCTCTACCACTGAGCCACAACCCCAGCCCTTCCTTGGGCTTCTTGAAATTGCCATTTCTTCTGTGTGAACCACTCTTCTGTTCCTGCAGGTCTCTATAGAGAAGTTACCTCCAGTGAGGTCCTGCTGGACTCACTCACATGAACACCTGCCCAACGGCTTCAGTCCTCCTCTTTGCTTTGTTACTCATTAGCACCGTCACTATCTGATGCACTGGCAAATTCTGGCAATATTGATTAATATCCCTACTTTGCTCTCAGGGTCACATCAATTGTTTTAGGAAAGGAAGTACACTCTGCTGGGTAGATTAAATTTAGTGAAGAAAACATTTTCTCCTCACTATTCCTAAATCATCTCTATTTCTAAGATAGTTCGGTATTTCCCAGAAATATAAAGCTAAATATCTCAGTCTACTGAGATATCTATCATCTACTCATAGCAAGGATACTCATTCCCCTCAGAGTTCATCTTACATCATTAAATGCTTACCTTTCTAAAAGCTGTATTTATATATGGTGTGTTATATTTGCTATTTTGTGGGCTAGTTTGCACACAATGTCCATTAATAAATATATTATTTCTCAAATGTATTTACTGGGCTTAATAGTTGCCAAAGTAATTAGGTTGCCATCTTAAATGTGTTTAAGCATAAACATTTAGTTTAAAAACAATAACAATTTGAGTTACTAAGTATCCTATAACATTTTTAAGTGCTGTATATGTAAGAGTATTAAAATACTTTTGATTTTTCATAGGACACTTACTAAGTTTCCTTGGAAGTGCTCCTTTGCCATCTGCCTTTAAACAGAACCTGACATTAAAACTGTAGGAAAAGAAAATATATACATGTAAATCCTATAATCCAGCTTAGATATATTTAATATCATTCAAATCTCACATTTCTTATACAGTCATCCCTTGTTATCTGTAGGGGATTGGTTCTGTGAACTACCCTTCAGCCTCCACAGATACCCAAATCAGTAGATGCTCGTTAATAAAACAGCACAGAATTTACATATAACCTACAGATATCTTCTTTCATACTTTAAGTCATTTCTAGATTACCTTTAAGTCATATCTACTTATAATACCTAGTACAATGAAAATGCCATGTAAATAGTCATTCTACTGTATTGTCAGGGAATACACAATAATATAGGAAATAATAAGTAAAAACTAAAAGTATGTACATGTTCAGTACAGACGATAATTTTTTTTTTTTTCCTATCTGCAGTTGGTTGAAACCAAGAATGCAGAAACGGCAGGTGCAGAGGGCTGATGGTGCATAGTTAAGGCCAGGAAGCCCGGCATCTTTCTTCATGTCTTAATATTGTTCTTAAAACATGAAACTACCCAGACTAACCTAACTCATTCTTTAGTAAGTTAAACATGTTTCCTTTCAGGGTACCTTGATGAGAAAAATAATTTCCTAACCTCCATTCAAGTTTACAGAACCTGTTGATAAATCTAAATAAGGGAAATGCCAGTTTAGATTTAAAATAATGTCTTCTATAATTAAAAAAAAAAAAAAAAAAAAAACAATCCACTGAAGCATCCTTTAATTACCAAGCTTCTCTAGAGATGTGCTTTACAATATCTTAACAGGTCATGAAATCAGTGTAGTTGGCTGTATCCAGCATCTTAAAAAAGTGTATACAATAAAGAAAGTTGATGTAAGTAATGGGTTTATAGGATTATGGTGCAAGGTTTATTTCTAGCTGTGTACCATGGTCAAAATTAGATGAAAGCTAGTACTTCAATTAGTGCATTTGAAGCCTTCTAATTATTAGCATAATTACAAGCATATTATTAGCATCTTCACAGAAACATAAAAAATGAGTGAAGGAAAGAAAGGCAGTAAAACTAAAAGCCAAAATCTTGAAAATAATTTGATTAACAATCAATAAAAATTAAGAGCAATTATTATGAAATGATTAATGTAATCCCATGAATAAACTAAATTTTTCAAGATTTTAATGACCATAAAAATTCAAAACAAAATCAGGAAAATATCTATCATTAGCTCTTTTTAAATAAAATTTTCCTGTTTACCAATCATTTTCCTCTTCTTCTATAATTCTTTGCAATTTTTCTGTACAAGTAAAGAATGTGAACAATGCTCCTCTAAGTGATGTTAAAGTACACAGGGCCAAAAACTTCCAATAGTTAGTTTTGTATTTATTTTCACATATGAGAAATATATTGTCTTTTCCATTGTGGGCTTTTTTTTTTTTTTTTTTTTTTTTTACTTGTAGATGGACACAATACCTTTATTTCATATTTTTTTTTCTTTTAATGTGGTGCTAGGATTGAACTCAGTGCTTCACGTGCATGCTAGGCAAGCGCTCTACCACTGAGTCACAACCCAGCCCTCTCCATTGTATTTTTAAAATACTTTGAGATAAAGTATGAGTCAGTTTAAAGGAAACTTAAGGAAATTATAATACAGGTAGAAAGAAAATATAGCAAATATCCTGAGTATCATACACATGATAAACTTGGAAAACAATGGGGCAGAGAAGTCAGACACTAGACTTATGAAAAAATATTGTATTTTTCTTTGGAAACCAGAAAAGAAACAAGTAAAAGATCAAAATATAAGGGCAAAGTAATTTTACCATACAGCCATACATATTTGAAATCTGAAAAAGAACATCATCTTTTAAAGATTTCATTTAAAGGGTTAGGTTTATGGCTCAGTGGTAGAGCTCTTTCCTAGACTATGGGAGGCACTGGGTTCGATTCTTAGCAACACATATGAATAAATAAAATAGGTCCATCAACAACTGAAAGAAAAAAAAATTTAATTAAAAAAATATTTCATTTAAAAGGGCCTGTTTAGAATGAAATTTTTATAAAATGAGTTCTGAGATCTTGTTAGCTTTTTCTTCTTTTTAAATATATTCATTGACCATATACAATTCTTTAAAAAATATAGTAATTTATTGAGTATTTCTGGAGCATTCTAGAAATTTTCCTTGGAACACTATTTCTATAATCCAATCTATGGCCAAAAAATGGAGTGTATCCACAGAAACTGCTTTAGTAATATTTTAGCCCTGCCATCTTAATTTTTAATTGTTCTTAAAATAATTGAACCATTAATCATAACTATTATTAAACACATATCCTTACCAGGAAACTTTGAGAGCTGTCCCAGGCAATGGGCAGGTTTTATTGTCTTGATTTAAAATGCTAGGGTATACTTCAAGGCCAGCATTTACGGTGATAACAGGTCTGGCCCTGTTTTTAAAAAAGGGAAGAAAAAAGTTCAAACTTAGAAGCTGAAACTTGGGTTGATCCCAGCATTTTAGGTTCACATTCACCATGATACAGTAACATCTAAAGCATTCTTTCTAAGAGCAAAAAACATTGAAACAAACTTTTAAGTGTAAGATGACCAACTGCCTCGGTTTGCTCAAAACTTTCCCAGTTTCAGCACTGAAAGTCCTGCATCCTGGGAAATTGCTCAGTTCCAAGAAAAGCAGGACAATTGGCCAACAAATCTGAACTCAGTCCATTAAGTAAGTTACAAGGTCCCTACTTAATGCAATGCAACATGAGTGTCATAAATCCATCTGTATTGACATAAGATAATCTCTAAGATACATCCAAGATGTAACTGTAGTAAAAGGAAAAGAAAATCTCACAATAAATAAAGAATGTCTACAGACACACATACATTTACGCACATGATCTCTTTTAATACATGAGTATTTTTTGTAGGACATACCTAATAAACTAGTAATTGACATGAGAAAATATATTTTTATTCTATGATCTTTATGCATTGTTTGAATATGCACCACATGCAGGTATTACTTCATTAGCAGCAATTTTAAAGCTAAAACAATAAAATACAGTTAAGCACTCCTAATTAAAAAAAATCCAAAATCTGAAACTTTTTGAGCACAAACATAATGCTCAAAAAGTTGTGGATTTTGAACTATTTCATATTTCTTATTATAAGGGATGTTCAACTGGTAAAGTCTATGTAAATATTTCAAAATTAGAAAAATTCTAAAATCTGAAACATTTCTGATCCCAAGAATTTCAGATAAGGTATTTGCAACCTGTAAATATAGTTTTCCAAATTCCAAACATCCAAGTTTACATCTTGTACAAAAATACAGTAGACTCAAGTCAATGAGATTGCCTCAAAACGACAAATCCCTGAAATCTATAAGTACACACATTCCCCCAAAGCTGTAATTAGGTTGAGTCATCACAAACTCTACCACCTAGCATCGATGTTAGGTTTCCTACCATGCTTAATCTCCATCTGTAGAAATATTAAGCTACTTGAGATACCAGTTGATATTCTATGAGAATTGATGAAATAGAGAAAACTGGTAATATATATGAAGTTGGAAAATAGAGAAATATGAATTTTTACACATTTTTCTAACAAAAAATATTCATGTGGGGATCCATTACATAATCACTGTGGTCACAGAATACTGGGCCACAAACACCAGGCTGGTTTCCTACCTCTTATAGGAAAATACAGCCTATACATTTGATGTGGGGAAGAGGCTCACAATGGAACCCAGGATCTGGTACCTGCTGGGTTAAGTGCTCTACCACTAACAACATATCAGCCCCTATCCATAGAGTTTTTAAAGAGAAATGAAAAATATAGGAGAATGTCTCTGAACAAAATTTAAGGACAATGAGCAAAATCTCTGAACATTTTTCTAAATAAAAAAGTCTATACTGTTCTTTTCTTTGAGACTTCCTTGTATAAATACTCTTTACCCACAGCAAATCCTGAATAGAAAGAACAAACAAGTTTTATCCTTACTCTAAGAAAATTAAAACTGAAATTCAAACACTGGGACTTAACTAAAAGAATTTTTTAAAATTCAAAATATTCCCATAGTACAGAACATGAAACATACCTGTATAACACAGCTCGATCTACACCAAAAGCTCCTACAATTAAGTCTTAAGCAAAAGCAAAAGAATATGTTAGTAATAATAATTGTTTTTAAAGCTTATGTATCATTCTAGAAATGCTTAATGCACATAAGATTTAAACATTTTCTCAAAACTAAAAGGTTCTAAGATAAGATATATGAGGATAAAACACTTGAAAACTATAATAAGTGTTCATCATTGCAAATGCTCATCATAAACCAGACTTTCATTCAGGTAGATAAAAACTTTTTCTTGGCTATTTCATAAAAAGAGCACCAAAAAGGAAGTGTATAGCCAGCAAACATATACACTCCCCAAAAGCAAAAGCTTTACAGATACCTGTGTATTTATACTTTTATTATAAAATTTTCCGCCAGTTCTCTTGTTTTAGAAACAAAACCAAGAAAGCACATATACATATGTTGAATATGATAGCAGGCAGCATTCAAATCAGCAAGAATAAAATACATTAATTTTTATACATAAGAGCATAACTGGTCAATGATTTAAAAAAACTGAAACCACAGATGCATTTTACAATATATCCAAGTTCAATCTAAGGAAACCTTTTCTAAGCAGAGAAGCATACAAGAGCAAATAAAGACAGACAGATTGAATTATATGAAAATTCAAAACATCTTTATGCCAAAGACACAAACATGACAAACTGGGAAATGTATAAAAGAGCTAAGAAGTTAAAAACTGTCAATATTTAAAGCACTGCACAAGTTTAAAAATGAAGGAATGAAAGAAAGAGAAATTGCGTCTCAATTGAAAAGGAGAGGAAAAAAAACATAAAAAGGAAATTCCAAAAGTAAGTATACAAATAAACAATAATGCTTATCTTCATTAATAGTTAAAAACTCTTAACTGAAACAAAATAATATTATCTGTGGCTCAGGAGGCTGAGACAGGAGGATAATGAGTACAAAGCCAGCCTCAGCAATGGTGAAGCATTAAGCAACTTAGTGAGACCCTGACTCTAAAAAAATACAAAATAGAGCTGGGGAGGTGCTCAGTGGTCCAGCGGCCCTGAGTCCAATCCCAATACCAAAAAAAATAAAATAAAATAATAATAATAATAATATAATACATCTACTAGGTACTCCAAATTATTTTAAAAGAGGTGCAGTGTGGGAAAATGATTATTTTTTTACTGCTAGTGTTTTTGAAAAAGTTGACAAAAGCCATTTTGTAGAGGAAATGGGATTATTTTTTAAGGCTGTTCATAAAGTACACATCTTTGACATACCAATTCTAGAATTTTGTCCTAAGGAAATATTCAGTGGTATGCAACAGAATGACATGTAAAGATATAAATGCCCTCAAATAAGGTAAAATTAGATATGATATAGCTATTTATTAGAGAGAAACATAAAATTTATGTTTTAGAAGAAAAATAGGGGAATTGTTTCCCATACTTTAAGAAAACAAAATATATAATAATTATGTTTACAAAACATGATTCTGCTTTGTTAAGAAATATGTATGAATGCAAGCCAGGCATGGTGGTGCATGCCTCTAATCCCAGCAGCATTAATCCCAGGAGGATCAAGGGTTTAAAGCCAGCCTCAGCAAAATCAGGCCCTAAGCAGGTCAGCGAGATCCTGTCTCTAAATAAAAATGCAAGAAGGGCTGGGGATGTGGCTCAGTGATTAAGTACCCCTGGGTTCAATCCCTCGTACCAAGAAAAAATAATAATATGAATGCATAGGAAAAATATGCTTTGCTGTATTTTCTAAAAGTTCTATAATAAATATTTTATTATAACATACAACTGGAAATAATGCCAATTTATAGATAAGAGTAAACTTTATGTCTTATTTCTAGAAACCTTTCAACATATTTGTATATTGAGCTTCTATTAACTATTTCAACAACAAAGGTGATCTACATTCTCTCATTTTTTTAGAATAAAAAGAAGACCTATTTTGATCCTGGATTCATTGTAATACTCCAAGTATATAAGAGCCTGAAAAAGGTTTTGCTTGTTCTAATGGACTAACCCAGTGAGCAAGTTTGGGCAAATGACTTCCTCAATCTCTTCTCACATATAGAAAAATGGCCTCATAGTAACCTAACTTAGCTTGTGTCCCCTCACAAGCCTTATTAAATAAATAATTTTTCTTTAAAAAAAAAATCACATTAATTAGTCAAGTCCACAAAAATGCTGCATCATTAAGCACAAAAACAATGGCTAACGTTTAAAAACTTGGAATGAGCACTTGGTTTTTGTTTATAGCTTCTACAACATTTTTCTGACATTTTATTATAGACCTCAAGACAATGAAACAGACTCAGAGTTAAGTGTTTCATATTGTATGCCACCAGGAAACAGCTGCCTTTCTTCCTGTCCCCTGTACTGAGAACAGTGTCTTCTGTACAGGGGAGGCCTGATCAATGCTTGGAATATTCAACTGAAATAATTTGTAATATAAACCAAGAGAATGGCAATTAGTACTCTTTGCTATTTGGACTGAAAAAGTGCACGAGCCACATGCATTTACAGAAAAGCACCTGGATATCCATTCTTGTCTATGTCTGTGGCTCCCTTCATGGAATAGCCAAAGCTTGGTGGCATGCTCTGTGCAGCCCACTGCCCTTCGAGGATCTGAGATGGCACTGTGTTCAAGCCCGTTGATCTTCCATTGAAAATATAAACAATTCCTTTTTTATCTTCACCCCCATAGGGAGCAGCAATTGCAATATCTGTGGGAGGAAAGGAGAGTGAGGATGAGAGAAGAAAAGAGAAGGGTAACAATGATTCAGGAGAAAGGGGACAGGGAAGATGGGCAAGACAGAGAGAAGGAAGTCTTAGTGTTTACAATTATTTACATAGTGATCTTAATATTTACAGAAAGCTACTAGGGAATGAGACTGATCGAACTATGTTATGTGCATATATAAATGTGCCATAATGAATCCCACTATTAAGTATAATTATAATGCACAATTTAAAAAACTGAAAAAAAAATTTAGAACCTCTTGATCATATTAAATATTGATTCAAAATTCAACAGAGTACTTTCTATTCAACAGTAAGGATCTAATTCAAGGAGATTCGAGCAAAACTATGTAGAAATGACATTAATTCAGAGCCAGATATTTTTGGATCTGACCCTGGGCAAACCACTTAACCTTTATAGACTTAAAATGCTTTATTTTTAAAATTAGGAGGTAGAGAGTGAGGTGGGCATTTGTCAAAAGATTCATCTAAAGTTCATTAGTTCTCAAATTTCTAGCTTATTTAGCTATGCATAGCTTTTGTTTTTCCTAAGCAGAAGTAAATCCAGCTCAGAAATTTGAAGGTTATAACTTCATGCTGATCTTGCTCAATTTATAATGAAATGACATAAACAAATAGAATTTAAAATTCTTAAAAAAAAAAACTCCAAAATATCAAATGGTCACTATGATCTTTATAAATTCGAAGATATATTATAAACCCATCCACTTCTCTGTCTCTGCTGCTACCACCTTAGAGAAGCCCTTGCCAGGCTCTGCCTGTACCCCTGGAGCAGCCACTCAAGTGGCCTCGCACTTCTAGTCTTTCCCCATGGCTCATTCTCTTCAAAGCCGGCCAGTGTTAACCTTACTGTCTCAGATCCCCCTTCTTGATAGCCTTCAATTATTTCTCAAAGCATTTAGAATAAGACCTAAGTCGTGCCTGGTATGTCTTCTGCTCACTTTGAAAATCTCCTCTCCTACCCTCTCTACCCTCCTCCTTTTTGTTTCATCCACTATTCCCAGCAATCTTGGCCTTTTTTCTATTTCCTAAACACACCAAGTTAATCTCTGGGCATACCTTTGCTGTTTTCTCGTCCAAACAGCTTTTGCTCGACAGCTTTTCAAGCCTTGCTGCTTCCGCTCGCCATAGATCATAGATGAAATGCTATCCTGTCAGTGAGGCCTTTCCTAGAAACTCTAAGAGGCCGAGTACTTGTCCCTCAGGACCCCTACTATATTGTACTTTCTTGGAACTCTTGGAACTCCCTATCACAGTACTTTGTCTTAAAAAAAAAAAAAGCCCAGTCACACTACCTGCATTTCCTCATTTTTTGTTTACTTACTCTATGAATCTCCATAAAACAAGCTTCATGAGATCAAGGACAAATATCTGTCCTGCATCTAATGGTCCCTCTGTACCTGCCACACCAAATAGCCTCCAGTTCCTTAATGTATCCAAACTGTTTTATTCCTGCTTAATGACAACCCCTCAGACACCAAAGATACCTTGACCTCTCACCCATTGTATAAGACCATTATGCCCACTGTGATAATCACATTCTAGTGTTTATTTTTTTCACATATACATTGCCACTACATAAAGACATGGGTGGGTTCATGCATTTTAAAGAGGGAAAATGTATATGTGAAAAAATGGGCTCATTTTCAGCACCTACCATAACATTTGTTCTTAATGGGAACTAAGAATGTACCATCCTTTAAAATTCAGTATTTAAATTATTTAAGAATCTCTCTGTTATTCTTTTTGAAGTTTTAAAAGGTAAATATAATTGCTAAATTAATATGTGCATTAAAAAGTATTTATTAAAATATAATTTCCCAACAAAAGATGGCTCTAAAGTTAAGATATTATTATTACAAATTATCTTTAATTTTTCTAATCCCTTCAATATTTTATACATGCTTATTATCTTTTCCCTTGGCTGTCATTTTTGAAAAGCACTATGTTTTCATGCAATCAATTTTCTCCTTTGATCATTTTAGTTGCTCTCTTCTGGTTGGTTTTTTTTTCCTCCCCCCTGCTTTTCTGAAAAGATGTTGACAAAAACTGCACAAAATTACCCTGGAGCTATGTAAAATCGTGGAATATAAATTTATTGTTTTGCCTTTCATAACCCTCTTGATAGTACCCAGTGTTTTCCTGATGAGGATAGGTAGAAAGAGTGGGATACAGAAATACAGAAGCAATGACACTTAATGTTATCAGCCATGAACAAAAATAGAACCAGGTTATATTATAATTAATGATATATTTACACAAATCCAGCTCAGACAATTTTCCACTAAATTCCTTATCTTTCAAGAACTACTACTTGGGACAATAAGACCTAAGGTAAAATCTTGGAAGACCATCAACACCCTCTATGGAATCTCTCTCTGGAAGTAAAATCTCTTCATAAAAAATTTCTAAAACTTCAATGTTTTTAGCTGTTGTTTATATTTTTTTGTGTTGGCAGATCATATCCTATTATTAAAATCTAATAAGAAGGATGAGATAATGACTGGATCACAATATCAAGGAAACTTCCATAAATTGGTTAGAATACCCTTGACAGAAAACAAGTCCAGGCTTTCCCAGAAAGCTTGGGAGACAGAGGCCCAGTGATATAGCAAACAACTCATCAATTTTATGCAAAGCAGAACCTCAAATATAGGTCTATACTTTCTAGGTAGTAGTTGTTATTAGTAAGTAATGGTTTGGCGTGTTTTACTGTATTTTTTTCATGTTTTATTATGAGCCGTTTAACGCAGCTTTATTTGATTTATGTTAAGTTATCTTGGTGTCTAAAATCTTCCAGATTATTTTAGGAAGCAAAGTGTGCCTCTGACCTATTGTTCACTAATGTTGAATATTTCTAGGGTTAATCAAGATGACACTTGAGTGGTATATAACATACAACTACCCATGAGGCAGGACTGGAGCCCAGAGTCAAATAACACTTTTCTTTCCACTAGAGAGTAAGTCATCTGTACTTCTGGAGTGTTTTTCTTCATTAATTTCCTTTACATTTTGGGGAAGCATATCCCTAAACACTGTTGGTTATACAAACACACCAACAGTTCATCTCTCTATCCTGTGATCCCTAGAAAGATTTTTAATAGTATTTTTTTAATCTTGGTAACTTGTGGCATATATTTCATGTTTCTGAAAAGAGTTCTATAGTAAAAGCCAACTTTGTTTTTTAAAGATACATATAGCTATTGAAATGATACTATTATAAAAACAATGGACCTTTTACATGTCCCCATGAAGAGACAGAGAGCCTGGCTCAGAAAGTCTTAGACACAATAAAGTTATGACTTTAAAAATATTAGTGGCAGCTCATACTTATGAGATTAGAGTTAGAATCAGCACTTCCTTGACACTGTGCTGGGAGCATTATTTTTGTTTTTCATTTTTTCACTTGTAATCAAATGGACAGTAGAGGGCACTGCCGTTTAGCAGGAGGCAGAGAGAAAAATCAGCAGCTGGCACTGGGCTCCACAGGAATAAAGCTTTCTTCCAGAAATTAACCATCTGACACTCTACTTGAAGCTTCATGAATAATACCTCAGGAGAGCTGATTTTTTGAAAACTTCGCTCTGATCTTTAACGAAAAAAAAGACAACCTGACTTTAAATATCCTATCTTTCTAGGAAGGTTCACTCATGCAAACTTCTCCAGATGGGTGCTAGGACTTTTCCCAGGTGGACACAGAGCATCCGGAACCCACAGTTGCTGGATTTTAATCTTACCATTGAAGCCATCCTGGTCCAGATCTCCCAAAGGAGCTATGGCACTGCCAAACCGTGCAAAGACCTCAAACCCGTTCAGTTTTGTAGTCTGGAATTCTCCGGAAGCTTTCTGCAGAGACACGGAGACCTGCCCCACCTCTTGGAGTTTGCCATCAGAGCCTCGATCCATGAAAAGTGGTGCTCCAATAAACACATCTGCATAACTGAAAGCACAAAATCTTCTCACCAGAGAAAGATTGGATTCCATCTCTTAGTAAGCATTTTCTTTCTCATTAAAACGCTGCTTCCCTCTCTGCACCTCTCTCATGGCTGTGCTGAAGCACAAAATTATCACAGTAGTTATTTCAAAGTCAAACCTTGCTTCAGCTCTTTTAAAAATCTATAAGTAGTTCCTAAGCTTACTTTTTTTTTTTTTTTGCATTATAAACACTATTGAAAAAATTGTGACCAGCATAGAGTTTGCCTAATATTCATGATTAAGGTTGCTTCAAATTGATTCCACAAATAGAAAGAAAATTAGCAGGAAGGGGATCAAGAAACAAAAGAAAAAAATGTTTAGTTTTAGTAGAGCATTCATAAACACGAAAGGAAACAGTTTTCTAGAAACATTTTTTTAAACTTACTCATCCCCATTAATGTCAGTGGCAGCGACAGAAAATCCGAAATATGCAGCCATCTGAAGACAAAGACAAAAATGAAATGTTTATACTTCATCTAACTGGCTTAGACAATATTTATTATTAATATTTACATGTATTACACGTACAACATTGAAACCCTTACTCTTTTCTCTGCACTTAAGGGCTTCAATCTGAATCTCTTTTGTTTATTACACAACAAAGACAATCAGTTAATGAGTCTTGTTTATTTTGCTAGATTTATGGGAAAAACATTCCACACACATCATTCCAGCATCTTCAACATGTGCCCAAGTATAGTCAATTTTCCTTCCCAGCTCTATTATCTCACTTCCTCTGCATTCCCCCAAAACACAACAGTCAGACACACTAACAGAAAGACAGATGGTCACAGACAGACATTTTAATTGAACCAAAAAATAAGTTTCATACACATATATATATATACACATATATGGATGCCTATGCAGTACGGACAATTGACAATAGCTATTAATGACAGATAATAATTGGCTTTCCAGTATGAAACCACTACTATAGAAAAATTACTGTTTGGAAAAAATATAGAAAGGAGCTCATTTTTGTCTCATATTTCACTTGTCAGATGATTTTGCTTTTACTTGTCAGATGATTTTGCTTTTCGATTATACATGGTTAAATGGGTGTGGGCTTATTATGGACTTATAGGCATAGGTAAAAGAAATGCCTTTCCCACCACAGAGGACTAGTGCCCATCACAGTCAGAGCAGCCTGGCTAGAAATAAATGTGAAAAGGAAGTTCTAAAGACAGGCCCACACGCAAAACAAAATGAGGACAAAGGACAGGTTAAAGATGACCAGAGTGAAGAAAGAATCCACACACTGAAAAAGGAAAGTTAGGAATGCTTCCAAAATTTAATTTGGAAGTCTGGAATTCTCCTGAAGCTCTCTGTAGAGACACGGAGACCTGCCCTACCTCTTGGAGTATGCCATCAGTGGCTTGATCAGAGCATCTTATAAGGGAGATTCTCACATTATCTATTTTCAATTGATATAGTGTAACCAAGAAAAGTGAAAGGTATATTCTGTACTTGATGACAAGATCAGAGCTTGTGTGTTTAAGTACTCAGAGTTTGGGGTACCATGTTGATGTGTGACTCGAAAATAATAGAATAATAGTTGCAGGCTTTTATGTTTGTCCTGAAAGTATAAAGGACGGCATTTACTCAGGGGAGTTTGATCCTGAGCACTGTGGTTGAAGTATTTTCATTGGATTCTCACAACTATGCCACATGCCTATCTATAAAAAAACAAAAAAACAACTAAACAGTTAAGAAAGAATGTTTTGTGCAATGCAATAGCAAACAAATCATGGATGATCCAGGTCGTTACTCATCCAAAGCCCATGTTTTCTAGCCCCTCCCCACATAATAGCTGGAAAGAATGAAGGAAGCTTCATGAAGACATGTCAGCATCCAGAGACACAGGTCATCCGACAGGACACTCTGCTTGAGCCAAAGAAGTCACAACAGCAGAAGGAGACAATCACCCCTGAAATAACCCTAAACACCAATCAACTACAGGCCTTTTGTGTTGCACAGCCACCCTGGTTGCCGCACAGATGGAAGAGGTTTCTGGAGACCAGGGTTCTAGTTTCTCAGCCTATTAATCCTCTCCCAAAACCTAGCCCTCAGGTGAGCATGTAGGCTGGAATCCCAGAGCTGCAAACCACAATGAGGTGTTTTTCTTTTTTTCTCTACTTAACTGTTTGTTTTTTTTATCATTGCCAACTTATTATTTAATTCTGAGATATACAATATTATAAAATGTCTCTACTTGTAAAGAATGCCTAGTACTTAAAAGAACTACATTTTAATTGAAGAATATTTTATTTCATGTAGTACAAACCAGGTTTGCTTGTAATATCTATAATATGTAAAACTGTGCCATGCTGTTTTGCCTCTAATAAAATTAAGATATAGATCATTCCTTAAAGGGAATTGAATGCCATCAGCATAGAAAAGTTTTTCTGAACTTCCACAAAGAAAGTTTTTGTAGTTTTATGTGTGTGTAATTTGATTTTTTATTTCCTAAAAAAAAAAAAAGAAAGAAAACAAAAAAACAAAGCCATGATAATCAATTACAAAAGCTAAAGTTTTGCTTAAATTACTTGGCTAAAGCAAAGGTTAAATGTATAAAGCCTATCTTATACCTAAAAATTAAATATTATAGAATCATCACTCCATTTTTATATCACAAAGCAAAGTTTTAAGACATTAGGGAATGTTGAGTGAAAAAAGCAAGACACAAAAATTTAAATAAACCACTTTTTGTTTACACACACACACACATACACACACACATACAAATGAGAAATACACCATAATGACAGTTTGATGGATTATCTGTTTGACTGGATGATAGATATCTCTTATACTTCATCTCCCACAATTTCTCTAATGAATATGTACTTTTGTAAGGATGATGTTTTTAAAAGCATACCTGCTCACCAGTAAAATTGTGCAAAGAGGACATGTTTTTCCCATCATAAATATAAACCTGTGTAGAAAAAAATATAAGCACATGAAGTATAGTAAAATAAAAGGTAACACACAGATTTTTAAAAACAATTTTCATCTCTCCTACCATGCCCAGAGTCCTTGCTGCTCTTGGAACTCCCGAAACAAAGTCTGAAAAGAACAACAAAAAATAAATAAATGAACATGTCTTCAATTTTAAGACCAACATTGGAAACTGAAGAAGCAGCTTAAAGTTTTGTTTTATAACTTTAGTAGAAAATGAGATATTTTTTTAAAAATTGATATTCCAGGGGCTGAGGCTGTAGCTCAGTGATAAAGTACTTGCCTCGTATGTGTGAGGCACTGGGTTCAGTCCTCAGCACCACATAAAAATAAATAAAGATACTGTGTGTTCATCTACAACTAAATAAACATTTTTAAAAATTGATATTCTATAATAAAAAATAGCATTTTAACTACTAAAATCAAAATCTGAAAAATGCAGAAATCATCTCAAGTACTCAAATAAATGCACAGGAACCCTCAAATCACTGTAATCTTCCTAAGCAAGAATTAAGATAATGTAACCTATGAATTAAGAAAAGTTATCCTTAAGTAATGAAAAATAATATAAAGCAAACTGAAATGGGGTAGGGGTGGCTGTGGCATAGAAGTAAGACCAAAGTTGGTCAAAGTCTATCTAAGACTGCTGCATTGAGCTCTGAAGGAACACTGGTACACAGAGGAAGCGGATAACATCTTACAGACCTTGTCCAGAGGCTACGAATCAAACCTAAATAAAGAAGGAATGCTCCAAGAGGACAGAATTTGCTGAAAGCAAAGAGGAAGGAGCTGAAGAAATCACTGACTGTGGTTAGGGTGGGAAAGACACCAAGGCCCACAGCAGGTCTTGAACAACCAACAGAGAGAGAGTAACAGAGACCCAGAGTGGGACTCTCCTCAGTGTACTAACTCTTACTAGTGTCTTCCATTTAAATTCCATAAAAATAGTTTCAAATTGCTGAAGAATCTCAATGTCACGTTTCAAACGCTTGATTTAAATTCTTTAAAGGATTAAACATAGTTCACATGCTTCATACCATCTATGCCATCACCGTTGAAATCTCCGACAGCCACTGAGTAACCTACATGGGAACCAAAGGTGAGACACCATGAGGGCAGGAGTTAACAGCGTCTTTGTTAAGTCAACTTCCCTTCAAAATATGATCAAGTAACTCCTTTAACTAGGTAGGGTTTTGTCTTTTGGGGTAACAGCTTAATAATGTATATGACAAATAAATTTTAAAATAATTCAGCTGGGCTCAGTGGCTCATACCTGTATTCCCAGCAGCTCAGGAGGCTGAGGCAGGGTGATGGAGAGTTCAAAGCCAGCCTCAGCAAAAGCAAGGTGCTAAGCAACTCAGAGAGACCCTGTCTCTAAATAAAATACCAAAAAGGGCTGAGGATGTGGCTCAGTGGTCAAGTACCCCTGAGTTCAATCCCTGCTACGCCCCTCCCCCCAGGTGAATAAATAAATAAATAATTCTGTTAAATACTCAAGTACACTATCTGTATTAGAAAAATAGGACTATTTTATCCACTTTACAAAGGAATCTATTAAAATTAGGGTAAATTTGCAGTTCATCAAAAAGAGGAAATAACAGATTCTCTCAATCAGTAAGTACTAGTTCTGTTGAGTATGATTTGTTTTCATAAATAAAAGAGAAATTTAAAGAGAAAGAACAAATGTTAATAAATCCCCAAGACCCAAACTGTAGTTTAATGAATACTACATACATTAAATAAAACAGTAGTAGATATTTGTACATCTAATGTAGTTTAATAGTAGCTAAAAGTGCAGTAGTCAGACCACCTGGGTCTGAATCTCAAAACAGCAAATTATGTGTGACTTGGGGCAAGTGCTTTTGCCTCTCTGTTCCTCAATGTTCTCACCTACAAAATGAGAATGACAGTGAACTTTCATAGACTTGTGAGGACTAAATGAGCAAATACACACAAAACATTAGGAATGCCTGGACCATAGTAAGCACATCTGAAAGGTTAGCCACTGTTATCACCACATAAACAATCACACTCTCCAATGTCCATTACTGAAATGTAACACAACCTAAGTACTCAATAACAATTTGAAATTGTACATTACTTATGCTTTAAAAAATCTTAATCTATTTCACATAAAAGATTTTTATCTATTTTAATAATAGAACAAATATAACCCTTTACCTACCCAAATAACTGTCATCAAAAATTGCTTGTGCAGTCCGAGTGGCTAACTGATTATTATACTTGATGCTATAAACTTTGGGGTCATATTTAGATACAATTTCTGCCACTTGATCCGAGATAAGCTGACCTGACCAAAAAATAAAAAAAGAAAATATATATATATATCTATACACACATACACACGTGCACATAAACATGTATATATAGGTAATAAATGATCTTCTACTGGGAACTCTATGATATAGACAATGAATACTACATACATTAAATAAAACAGTAGTAGATATTAGTACATCTAATAATTAGTCTTAATCCTCCTTTATAATGCTAAATTTGAAGTCAGAGATTCTTTTACTTAAAACTTTTACTGTGCAAGCCAAAACTTAAAATTATTCTCCATTAATAAAAAACTAAAAACACATATTTGGTCTTAATTTACCAAAAATTCAAAATAATGAAATCAAGAACTATTTCCCAACCAAATCTGTAAAAACAAACAACTACTGCAATGATTAAATACTGTTACCTTTATAATCAGAATAATCACGTTATTGATTTAACTAGTTATCTGAATGCCCTCATGAAGCAATCTGGATGGGTGAGCTCACTTTGTCTCACAACCTTAAATTATTAGATAGACATGGAATCCAGATGACTACACAAAAAGCAGATAACCTCCACCCCAAGAAAGGTTGGCTGATTTATTAAATACCACCTGCCTAAAAATTTTGATTTCTGCCGTTTTGAAAGAAACTCATAAGAGCTGAAGTTTTTGAGGTGGATCTAATTTGTTCTGTCATATGGGGCAGCACTTTCTAGAAGCTACTAGTTTATCCTCTATACCTAAACAAACTGAAAACATAGAAAAAATTCAATAAATGTTTTTTGAATCAAAGAACAGAGGAAAATGATAATCTGTTTAGAATAAAACATTACCATTTTTTTATGCAGAGGCAATTCCAAGATCTATTAAACAGTTCTATCTAAAGTACCTAGTTATCCAGGGTGAAATCTGTTGATGTTAATCTTATTAAAACAAAAGATTCTCTGCCAATTCACTCAGTTTTAGTCCTATATTCTAGACCACTTATAATAAAACTCTAATAAATATAGTATCTATTTGTCCTAATATATAATTAAACGGAAACACAAAAATATATGATGTAATAACTCAAGGTATTAAAAGAACAAGTCATTTAAAAACATTCACATCTGTAACACCTAAAAAGAATTGCAGTCCTGAGAATCACAAAATCTAGCTTCCCTCACAGTTTTAGTTCTCAGGCATGACCATCAGTTGCTTCCTTCCCCTCTACTGAATGACACACCTAGTACAGAAGAAGAGGAAATCCATGTTTGTTTGGTTGTTTTTTCTTATTGGTAGGACAAAAGGCATGGCCTCCTGCATGCTGAGCAAGTGCTCTACCACAGAACTACAAAACCCCAGGCCACAAGTCCATAGTTTTATAACTAACAGGAAAGTATTAACATCCTATTACTTTTTCATATGTATTTTAGAATACCAAGTTTTGTTTTTAAACAGTAAAACACAATTATAATATTCCTAGATCTCTTCCCAATAGACAGATAATTCATGGAAATTCAAATTTTGCTGTTCAGGGTAGTATATCTCACATACTCTTTTCTTCATCTCCTCCTTTGATTTCCCTTTCAACTTTTCATTTATTCCTATTATCATTCCTTCTTATTTCCCTTCCATCCCATTTTCCTTCAGCAAATCTCTCTTTGGCTTCTCTATTACTTTAATGCAAGCGAATGAGGTTCCTACAAAGAACCAAGTAAGGAAAGCATAGTGCAGAACATAAAAGTAAAATTCAGAAATTAAAAAGTACTTTCAAATCCATATATGCATAGGTTTTCCAATTCTTCCAAACACTGACAGTGTTTAAATATCAGAAGAATAATAAACAAGAGTTATGATCTTGTAAATAGCATTTGGGGCAGAAATTATCATGTCAATATATTGACTAAATAAATAATTGTGATCTCTAATGATAAATAAAACATAAACAAAGCAAATAAACAGATTCAGTTAACTATTTTCATACTGTCAGCAGTAACGATCTGTTATTCATTTGTTCAAATGGAAATTTAATTAGGCCTCCCCAAATGATTGAAAAATATAGTTTTCTCTTTGTCAATGCCAATTTAATTATACTTTTAAAAAGATAATAATAAGATCTTCTGTTTTAAAAAGTCCCCAACACTTAAGAGATTAATCTTGATGTCAGTGATTAATGAGAAAATAAACATTTAATTATTCTAATGAGCAATTTCAAAATACTATTAAAACTCTGAGCTGTCAGAATGCCACAATTTGCCTACCCAGATTGGTCCTACTCCTACTAGTGGTTGTGTCATGGCTTCCAGAATACAGACATAAAGAAATACACACCACATAAAATCAAAATAAGTTATTTTAAATCTTATATACTTTACTTTATATTTTACTTTAAAAATATTATTTTCTACTAAGAATATATACATATTTATAATATTTCTTGCTATTTTCTTTTTTAAAAAGTTACATAACTGAATGTTTATAAACATATTACATTTTACATTTCTTTTTTAAAACAGTTTGAAATTTTTCATAGTTGCATGATAAACTAGGTGAATCAAAAACACACAGGCAGTATAGCATAATTTAAAACATATTAACCTACCTTGCCAATAAAAACTACCGGGACCACCAAGAAGTACTCTGTCAGCCTAGATTGAATCAAACAACAAAAGTGTATATATTTAAAACAAAGAGCACTAGAAACAGAAATCAATGTAATAAGCATAAAAAATACTTATGTGTATTTATACCTATTAAAATAAAAGCCAATAATATTAAAATGTTCATATTCATCTAATTCGGTTTTAGTGATTTTTGTAACTTTTATTTAAAAAATTAAATATGAAAACATCATTAAATATCATTTAATGATATTTAATGCATGAAAATATGAAAACATTTTTTCTGTAGAACTCGGCTATTTTCCATGTTTTGAATAATGTATTAGCTCAAAGAATTATTGGGTTACAATAAAAAGTCACTTCTTAATACTATATATGAGATTTGTGACTTCATAAGGAAGTTTTTTTTAATATCAATGAAGAATTTTCTGCTAAAAGAATATTATTTTTAGTGTCTCACATCAGGTGTGAAGTTAGAAGGTAAATTTCTACAAATTATACTTGACTAGCACTTCTTATATCTATAGCAAACTGTAAAGCTTTAATTGGAAGTATTCTAAATTTGAGCACAGTATTTTAGAAATTTCTTCTTGCTGGAGGCAAGAAGAAATTTTTTTTATTCACTCCAAATGCACACATATTCCTTTCAGGCTCTCAACAACTTCATGCCCCAACTATATAAAAACGGTTCCAAATTGTTCAACTTAAAATATATGCTTTCTTCACAAATGGGTTTAAGAAAGCAAACAGTTAATTTAGCAATAACTTGTGCAGCATGAGAATACTTCTAGGGGAATAGTTGTATAGGCATAGGTATAGAAAACGTGGATTTTTAAAAAAAAATAACTACTGGAGAAAATATATCTTGCAAGTTTAAGCCTAATGTTTATTAATATACTTTATTTCTGTTTGCCTTCCTTAAAGTTTGAATTATAACTAAAGTAATATGAAACTAAGTGAATTCAAAAATCAAGTACATAGTAAAGAGAGTTAGCAATAATTATTAGCATCTAGTTCAGAAAAAAATTTAATGAAATAAAGCAAATGTAAAATATAAGAAAATGCTTTATTAGTACTCCATCATCCCACGATTTTAATTTCAGTTTGTTTCATAAATTTATGGACTTTTCTTTGTTCACATTTTCCAAGAAAGCTATAAAGTAAGCTTTCCAAGGAAGCTCTACTCTTAATTAATCGATATATTTTTACAACTCTCTAAAAGGAATTACTATTTCAATTTGATCAACAAATTGTTTACATAACTCACAAATAAAGAATAAAATAAAAATTTATAAAGAAAAGTACTTGAGAAAAACTTTGAAAATATAAAAGAAAATTTTATTTTAGAAAAGAACATAAAAGCTAGCAACTCTGAAGGGCCTATTAGAGCCTTGGACATGAGATGTGCTACAATTAAGAAATCACATCAGCTTCCCTGGGTACCTATAGGCACATAAATGGCAAACATTGTGCTTCTTGGCTTTTGTATAATTGTGTAATAAAGTTTCCAATTGATAGTTTTGTGAAAAAAAAATTTCAGTTGAAAACAGAAACTTTATTCTATAAGTTCATGTAAGTGGAATATTTAATATTAAGTCACAATAGTTACCTATCATTTACTGAGGAGATTCTTTACTTCCCTCCATTCTCATCATCATGTCTATTTGATGCCTATTTCAAATAAGCAATGTTTACTAGGGAGGGAATAATATAAGGCAAGAATGTCAAAACGAATGGGTTGTTTTATTAGCTATTTCCATTAAGCAGGTAATAACTATAAAGACGCTGAAGTAATGACCAGTTTACTTTTAAGCACAGTTTATTGATAAGGTAGATCCGAATCTCATTCAGTTTTAAATAAGAACTTACTTTAGTAAAATCAATGCTGAATCCTCCTTGACAAAATCCCTGTCCATCAGCATCAATATTTTCTAAAATAAAAAGATTGGAAATATACACAAACCCAAAAACAAACAATATAAACAAAACATGAGAAAGTCTGATATCACCATAATTACAAGACAATGTGCTAGTTTCTGTGACTGGTCAATCATGCAGGCACTGAGCCATCATCCTATTCTGAAAAGGTTAGTATGCACGTTTATCAGCACCATTTCCTCAGATTTGGAAACAAGAGACACTGAATATCTGGACCAGTTTCTGGGTAACAGAAAGATCAACTACAAGTGTGAATTTCAAACTTCTTTGTTTTAACCACAACCCACAGCAAGATTATAGTTTATATGACAACACACTATACACTGTGTATAAAATAATGTTAAATATGTAATGTAAATAAAATTTCACAAAATAGGTGCTGGGATTGTGGCTCAGTGGCAGAGTGCTTGCCTTGTGCATGTGAGGCACTGGGTTTGACCCTCAGCACCACATCTACAACTAAAAAATTATTTTTAAAAATTTCACAAAATAATATTACTATTGTTACATATAATATATTCCAATATTTTCTACTTTGTATTTTATTTTACTTTTCAAAAAATTACTAGTTATGTCCCACTATATGTAAAACACAAATGAGTTTTCACCTGCAACTTAAAACCTGCCATCTGAAATCACTCTTTGTTCCTGTCACTCTACTCTTGCTAGGTCTTTGAGAAATTATGAATAACTTAGCAAAGGCTGGGCTCAATGGCGCATGCCTATAATCCCAGAAGCTCAGGAGGCTGAGGAAGGAGGATCCTAAGTTCAAAATCAGCCTCAGCAACTTAGCGAGGCCCTAAGCAACTTAGTGAGACTCAGTCTCCAAAACAAAATACAAAAAAGACCTGGGGATGTGGCTCAGTGGTTAAGTGCCCCTGGGCTCAATCCCCAGTACCAAAAAAAAATAAAAAATAACTTAGCAAAGAGATACATACATTCCTCGCACATACATTTCATATACATACATTTTATACTAACACTAAAAATAAAAGCTATATAAAGAAGATAGTTGAGAATTTCAGAAAAGGGCAAGGCCCAAACTTAAGACGTTCTATGAAGAACAAAATATGAAACTGTGCTCACAACATATTTAAAACTGGGATCTAATTAGAGTGAACATCTTTAAACATGACATCTTCAAGTATTTCCCAACCAAAGTTGTTTTGCTCTTCTGCAGTTATCTTCCCCTTTTTGTAGTTCTCAGAAAAGAAACTAACTTTGAATTACATAATTAGCCAATTAATTTAAATTAACTTTAACCATGAGTAATACTCTACCAAGAATAGAAGCCAGGATGAATCTAAAGACTTTCTCCTTGATTTATTTATTTATTTATTTTGTGGTGCTGGGGATTGAACCCAGGGCCTTGTGCATGTGAGGCAAGTACTCTACCAACTGAGCTATATCCCAGCCCTCCTTATTTTATTTTAAGGAGAGCAAGGAACAATGGAAAGCACCATCCTTCAATTATCAAAGAATTCTTGCAACCAATGTTACAAATATATAAAACTTATTACTGCATTAGCCACCCAAATATAGGAACCAAAAGTATATACATTTAGTCATAAGGACAACTCCAAAGAATTTTGTGTAAAATAATCCCATCAAAAATTTTGAATCCATTTCTAAACCTGGGAAGGGCCCCAAGATTACATACTGAATATCTAAATTTGAAATCTTTTTTTTAGAAAATGGCCACAAGAGTGTAATACTACCCTGATGTAAATTTTTCTAACCAAAAGAGAGTGGGAAAATGTGGGGCTGGGATTTCCAGTGTCTAGTGAATCATACCAAGGAATTCTGCTCTAACCTCAAGTTAGCCATTTATTTCCTTTATTCCAGCTGCATCTGGGGAACTATTTCAGGCTATTTATAAAGACATTCTTTTCTGATTATCATATGTACAACTCACTGCTTTGTTTTCCCAGAACATCCAGCTAAAACACATTACTGTTCCTTAAAATTGTCTTAACAGGTACCTATTGAATGGAGTGTTTCCAACAATTCAAAAACCTTCATGTTGAACATATTTCAATGAAGGCTTTGTTTTGTTTTATTACAGATAATTAATACTTCTCTCATTTGTTTCACCTTGCAATGATACTATAGGTATGAATATTATTGATTACAATAGTAGTAGTATCAGCTAGTGCTTACGAAGCTCTCACTGTGAGCCAGATATGATGTTAAAGCATTTTACATAGAATTTCCTTTTAAAATGTTTACAGCAATCCTAGAAGATATTATTCACAGTTTGTACAGATAAGGAAATTAAGTAACTTGACATGCTGAATCAGCTAGATCAAATAAAGAATTACAGATCTGAATCCAGGTGTGACGACACTACTATGTTTTACTATCTCAAATCAGCAATGTACTTAATATTCTCTAAGTACTGAAAAAATGGAAGGAACTGGAAATCCAAACTGGAAAAAAATCTATGTTCAAATAATATTATCATCAAAAATATTATCATCAAAGAACTCAGCTTTTGCTTGGCATTGAAAGAGTATTTATTTACATCATGTGATTTGTGGCTCAGGCACGTCTAGAACAGATTGGACATCTGGTCTATTGAATAACACCAAGAATGGTCATAGATGCAGTTATGAAAAGCCGGAAGCAAATGTAATCAGTAACAAGGAAAACTGAGAGTAGATAGGGAAATTCCTAGTCCAGACTGTCCACACAGGTCATGCTAACAACAAAACCAATCAACCAACCAAACCAAAACACAAATAGAAACAAACAAACAAACAACAAAAAAAAAAAGCCCATAAACTAAATACAACCAAGACAAGCAAAGTTATCAAGAAGTTGGCAATATAGCCCTACAAAACCCACATCATCATGAAAAATAGAGAAGATATATATATATATATATATATAAACTGTACCTCTGCCATACTTTGTTGGAACTAGTGTTTTACCAATAAGAAAACAAGGGTCCAGATGGATTAAGTGAATAACCCATAGCTGTAGGTTAATTATTACCAGAATTTGAAATTATCAGTCAGGTTTTGAAGCTTTTAACTTTTGAGATTTTTCTCTGGATAAGCTGCCCCTCTTAATTTGAGCCTAAAGGCAGCTCAGCATTACAAAGTTTGGATCAAAGAATATGTACAACAATCAAGGGTAACTGATGCCAGGCCTGTTAGGAAAAAAATATTCACTTTGCTGTTGTGTTTATAAGATTGTTCTCCAAGCTTTTCCTAAGATTTGAGGTTTTATTATTTAGGTCAGAGTTCAGTAAACTTTTTCTATAAAGAGCCAGATAATAAATATTTTAGATTTAGGGGCCATACAGTGTGGCAACCATGGAAATACTCAACTTTCCCAGATAATATGTCAACGAATGTGTGTTGCTCTATTCCAATAAAACCTTATTTACAAAAACGGCCACAAGCCATAGTTCCCCAATCAGATTTAGATGTTAAATACCTTAGAAAACAAGGTTTTGAATTACTTTATAATTTCTATGCCTAAACCAAATAATAAAAGCATTATGCGACAGATCCACAAGGAATCATTAGGATGCACATTTTCAGGAGGTTTCTGTTTACTGTCTCATTTAGGGAATTATCCAGACCTATTCTCTTGAAAGACACAGGATGTATTCCTTGCAGAAAAGCTGTGTTTTAAACCAAAGCAACTGAAATAGAAAGCATTTTCTGTTGTTAGTAATGCAGGAGAAAGGTTCCTTTGGAACAAGACAGACCTAAGAGGCTGTGGGTACAGCTCAGTGGTACAGTTTGTGCTTAGTGAACATGAGACCCTGGGTTGAAGCCCCAGCATCAAAAAGAGAAAAAAAAAAAAAAAAAAAAGGCAGCTCTTAGTTCAAATCCTCATTTGACCACTCAGTACCCATAGGAAGTGAAATTTTTTTTTTCAAGTGTCTGAATCTGTTTCTACATTTCTCAAATGAGAATAGAGTGTTTGTATGTGTGTTGTACAATTGATAAATTATATTCTGGCATACAATAGTTTGCTTCTTCCTCGTGGCTATAAAATTATCCTCTCAGAGTAAGAACATTTTTGCAATACAGAAATTACAAATTTATTCCTCAGATTTTCTCTACACTACCAACAATAACAGTACCATGAACAAAAAAAAACAACACAAAAACCAACAGGACAGATGGCACAAAGCTCTGAGGATGAAGCTTCCGAATCCCTCCATCCTGTATAGGGTGCTCTGGGACCTAATTTTTACTCACACATTAAATGGATAGGGGACAACATTCTTTTGATGTTTACTTTCCACTTACAATAGGTAGAATCAAGGTGGTGGGCTAAAAAATAAGTGTTTAATGAAATAATTTGCAGTTTTCTGGAGATTCAACTACTTAGAATTTGGGGGACCAAATAGTTCCTTAGACCTGGTGCCACATGTTGCTTTACGTGGAGAAAAGGAATCTAGCATGAAAAGTCTTATAAGTTGAACTTTTGTTATGAATTCTCTCTATTCAACTATTTGGTGACCAGAGGGACATAAAAAGAAATAACTTAAGGGCTAGGGTTACACCTCAGTGGTAGAGCGCTTGCCTAGCATGTGTGAGGTACTGGGCTCAATCCTCAGCAAATCAAAAAGTTACAACCAGGAGATGTGATTTAGCTGGCAAGAAAAAGAGATTTGACATACTATATTCAAACATTTATATCTCAGTACCCCACTATTGAGAAAGTTGTGCTCAATGTGCCAGGAACCAAAAATAAATATAATAAATAAATGTATTATGAAAAAAAGAAAGAAAGAAAGAAAAGAGAAGAAAAAAGAACTAACTTAAAAAGGGCTCCAGGTAAAAACACCACACAGCAGTCCACTTTTCTTGACATGGTTTTGCCTCCCACAGATTCAGTTACCCTAAGTCAATCACTGTCTGAAAATATTAAGGGGGAAATTCCAGAAATAAACAATTTATAAATTTTAAATATATTTTAATCATAGGATATTATTATAACTATTCTATATTATTAGTAGTTAGTTATTATTGTTAATTTCTTAGTGTGCCTAATTTATAAGTTAAATTTTATCATAGGTATGTATGAAAAACACAGTAGCACAGAGGATTCCATTTTGTTTTTGAACATTCATGGGAAATCCTGCAATGAATCTTCCACAGACTAGGCATTTTCATCCTCTATTTTTATGTTTCTTGAATAAACAAGATTTAGAATAGCAGTTAATTGAACAAAAGGCAGGGGTGCAAAAAGACTGGAATCTCTAAGGGGAAAAAGATGTGCAGAGTTTGGAAAAGCATAATCAAATGTATAAGAGCTTGAAATCATGGTTAGTCACAACATTAATTTCATTTAAAATTTCAATTAATATTGGTGAAAAGCATGAAACTTTTATATCACCTGTTTAGTAGCTAATTTACCTAGAAACTCCAAGTAAGGATTAAGAATTTAGACTTAAGACTCCTAAACTATATAATCTGGCTCTTTAAGACATATTTTTCCCATCATTATTCATGTAAAGCAAAGGTTCTCACACTTTGGTATACATCAAAATTACCCTGTAAAGCTTATTAAAAATGCATGTACCTTGGCCTAACCTAGACCTACTGAATCAAAATCTTTAGTTGCAGGGTCCTTCATCTCTATTAAAGAAGCTCAACTGAGCACTTTTTGACATATCATGATTGAATTCAAGAGTTACAAAGTCAGATATTCATTACTAACAAAGGAAGGTGAAAGGAGTTCTTACAAACAATAAGCTTATTTACTTCATATTTGCAGTTTCTCTCATTAATATGATGCTTTCATTTTCCTCTCATAACCTGCATGTTTTATCACACATACACACCCACACTCACACACTGATTTTTAACAAACTAGGCTCCCGCCCCTCTTGTTAAAGGCTGGTACAATTTCCCGTACATACTTGACCTGCATGGAGCATACTCAACAGTCTTTGTTCCATCTTGAAGAAAGCAAGTTCCAACAGGCTCTCTCTCCTGTTTCAGCTCAGTCCTCCAGTGGTACAAGGGAGCACAGGCCTGAAACCAAAGGTTCAGTCCATGATACAAAAAGTCTCCAAAAAATTATAATATCACTTTCTAAACCTTAATAAAAATTAAGCCAGGCACAGTGGTGCATGCCTATAATCCCAGTGACTTGGGAGGCTGAGAAAAGAGGATCACAAGATCAAGGCCAGCCTGGGTGACTTAGCAAGATTTTGATTGAGAATAAAATAAAAAGTGCTGGGGATATAGCTAAGTGGTTCAATCCCACTACTATTAAAAATTTTTTTTAATTAAAATTAAGATTAATCAATCTATCCTATCATAGTAGTAGATAATAATTTTTAAAGTAATATTTTTCTCATTTACTTCTGAAAGCCAATTTGTGGTCCAAATACGTGTATTCAAAATAGTTAGAAAAGATATTATTTCATATTTCTTTTATTTATTTATTTATTTTTATTTTTTAGTACTGGAGATTAAACCTAGGGGCACTTAACCACTGACCCACATTCCCAGTCGTTTTTTATTTTGAGACAGGGTGTCACTAAGTTTCATAGGGCCTCACTAAGTTGCTGATGCTGGACTCTAATTTGTAATCCTCCTATCTCACCCTCCTAAGCCATTGGGATTACAGGTGTGAATCACCAAGCCCTGCAGTAACATATTTCTTGATGCTATGTGTTAATAAGCTGAAGGTCACAGACCAAATCAACTTTTGAACTCAGTAACACTCAGTGTATTTAGGATACACCCCTAAATTATACAGTAAATAGTTTACTGAGTAATTAGAATTTGCAGTGCTTATTTATTTTCCAAGTAAAACATGAAATTTTTGTTTTCAGAATTCTAATTTCAATGTCATGTAGAAGCCATAAAATAGCGCACATCTACGAAAAGCATTGACAATTCAATTTACTGAAAAAGTGTAATAGATTTCTATAATACTCCTTGAAGCAAAGTGCTAACGTAAATACTTCAGACTTCAATACTAGGCTATTTTATATCCACCCTGATAAAACTGTAAGTACGAATTTTTACTTCTGCACATGTGACGCTCTAGAGTAGCTGATTTGCTCCTCCTGCTTCTTTTTTGCTTCCTTGCTCTTCTTTCTGCCTAACATGCCCCCCTTCTCAAGCCCATCCTTCATCTCAAATTGTTAAAGTCTTTATAAAAATTCTCCTCTTGAATAAATTTTTCCCAAAATTCATTGTCACTTGAAAAACAAAAGACAGTAATAAATACTAAGCAGGTAATTAAAATAGGGGAGGACTCTCCAAAGAAATGATATTAAAGCTGAAGTATGAATAATAAAGAGTTGATTTTGAAAATCAACAAGATGACTGTTATAAGCAGAGGACACACAAACACTAAGGTACAAACAGAAATGACTCTATATATGGAATAAATGGACAGAAAGACTAGTGTGACCGAAGTATGAAGATGGACTGAGAAGATGCCAAAGAGAAAGGCTAAAACCCAATTTGGGGGATGCTGATAAGCCAGGACAAGTTTCTGACATTCATTCAGAGAGTAACAGAAAGTGCTGGACTGTTTTCACCATAGGGAAAGACTCCGTTTCCCTTCAGTCCTTCTATGTAGAGTAGCAGTAGTTGGGGCAACAAGGTAGCAGAGGGACAAGAAGAGCTAGTGCTCAGGCTCAGGTGAGAGTGGTGACGGCTCACTACAGGGCAACAGTGATGAAGATGAAGATCTCCTGATGGGTGTGGGATACATTCTGAAGGCAGAATTGATAGGGTTCCCTGGTGGATGGGAGAGCCATGCTTCTCAATTGCCAGGAAGATTTGTATAGGAATAGATAAGTTTGTGTGCTTCTTTATGCTTTTTGATGAAGGGTAACAGGAGTCCTATTTGCACCATTTTCATTTTCAACAATCTATTAGACATCCAAAAGGAAATGCCAAATAGATAGCTAGGAAATGTGCTTTTAAAAGTCTAGGGAGAAGCAGGGTGTGGTGGAACTCTCTCACCTGTAATCCCAGCAGCTGGGGAGGCTGAGACAGGAGGATCTCCAGTTCAAAGCCAGCCTCAGCAACAGTGAGATGCTAAGCAATTCAGTGAGACTCTGTCTCTAAATAAAATACAAAATAGGGCCAGGGATGTGGCCAGTGGCCAAGTGCCCCTCAGCTCAATCCTCAGGACAAAATAAATAAATAAATAATCTAGAGAGAACTAAGAGCCAGAGATACAGATTTGAAGGTTGTAACATATAGTTTGTATTTACAGACATGGTACAGGATAGGAGCCCCTAGGTAAAAGGTATGAGAAAAGAACAGGGTCTGGAATAGAGCTTAAGGACACCTCATCATTTAGGAACTGAGTAGAAGAGGAGCCATGAAAAGAAAATGCAAAGGAGCAGCCAGTAAGAAGAAAAATCAGGAAAGCATGGTGTCACAGAAATCAAGGGAAGAAATGTATTTTTAAAAGGTGGGAAGTAGGGGCAGTGACCATGTCAAATGGTGCTGAGGGGCAAGAAAGATAGAAGTACAACTGGTGGTGGGGGGGGATATATTATATATATAATATATATATATTGTATATTATATATATTATATTACTATATATTATTTTATATATCTCATGGAGATATATATATTATTTATATATATATATATCATGGACACATATACGAAATGATGTACCAGTGGATTTCAGTGATCTGACAGTTAATGAATGGTGAACTCAGCCTTGCCTACCGCCAGGAGTGACTGAGAAGAGAACGAGAGGTGCAGAAGTGGAGACAGTTACTGGAGAAAGCACTCTCCATGAGAAGAGATGCAGAGAAATGGGGCAGAGGCACAGGGGAAGATGGGGGAAGTAAAGGGAAAACTGTTTGCTATATTTTTAAAAAGAAGGAGCACTAGAGCTCTCTTAATCACAGGTATGCTACTCCTAAATTTGAGTGGATAGAAATAAACTGATGGGAGCTATCAAGTAGGGCATGAAAAACGAATAATACAGAAACAAGGGTAGAAAAATCAGGAGCATGGTATCCTCAGAGGAGCAGCCTTTGATCACAGCTACCTTATTTCACTGCATTCTGTGTGCTTGACAATGCTGAATTTCACCATGAGCTTGAAACTATCACCCTTGCTATCCATCTCCACATAAATTGACACAACTCACCTGAAAAGAAATATCACAAAGACTTACCAAAATTTTATCCTGTTTTGACCTCACAGATGCTCCAAACCACTGGTGCGATTTAAACTCCAATGGATCATCCTTGGCATAATCTCTGTTGCCTAAAATAACAGAATATTGCAAGAGATAAAAAAACTAAATATATTGGTCTTAGTATAAGAAAGTTTATTTCTGTACAGCCAGGTTAGGAATGTTGTACCTTTGTTTAGTCAAATACTATATTCAGCAACCCAGAAGAACAAGATCCAGGGTTGCTCTGAACCCCAGCAAATATCCTAATTCACATGTGAAAAGTAATTGTAAATGAGATTTCCCAGTTACTAAATCATTACATAACTATACAACAAAAACTGTGAACACTTATTATACTGCCAAAAGTTTTTTCTATGGCTTAAGGATATGTATGAAAAATCAAAGCTTATGAAACTCTTTTGTATGACACAGTTTGTAAATGACAAGGCTAAGATGAACACCAACGACAATATGAATCAAAAAGTTACACCAGGAAATGCAATTTAGCTGGCAGGAAACAGAGATCTGACATATTATATTCAAGCGTTTATATTTAAGTACCTCACTATTGAGAAAGTTATGCCCAGTGTGCCAGGAACTAATAACATAAAGCACTGTGGAAGTATATAAATCCTTTCCTCTGAAAAACCCTAGATCTAGTCAAGGAAAAAGTTATGAAAGTTTATGCACAAAGTATTCTGAGAAGAGACTATTTTTAAAGTCAGGTTTGTTCCTCTTAAATCTGTTGTCATAATTCTTTATTAATATGTGTTTAAATAACTATATTGGACATTTCAGCAGACAAATATCAATTTTAAGAATCCCAGGCAACATGTAAATGTCATCAAGAGGTTTAGCACAACCATCACCCACCCAAGATAGTGAAATTACTCACTAGTGGTTACGTTTGTAACTTCTCTAACCACCATAGAACTAATAGTAGTTATGGTTATTCAATTCTATTCTGAAGACTTAAGACTAAAGAGTTGTAAATAATTAATGAGAATTTCAATAATACCAGGTATCCTATGTAAGGTGGAACCTCTAATGTTATTCACTATTATTATTCTTTTAGCTTTTTCCTCTTCTGAAAAAGAAAGGTGTCAGTCGCCAAAGGTCTCAAACTGGAATCTAAATTACCAAGTTTTTTGGTCAGGGATAGCGAAGGCACCCTTTTTTAAGCTTAGAGAAGGAAGAGAAGAAATCGAAGTAGCTAATATGCACTATTGACCATGAAAACCGAGTGTTCCCTTGGCTTGCCTCTGAAGCCTGCACTCACGGTGCGTGAAATAACACAAAAGTAACCTATATACCACCCGAGAGTACATGTGCTCCCTTACATTTCCCATCTTCCCACAGTTTAATTCAGAACATTTAACTGTGTTGTCCCTAAGCTAGGAGAAGATAAAGCAGTTCCAGTCAGTAAAGAGTGGATGAGTTCTCTATGTTTTCTCTCCCATCCATGAGGCTCTTAGACGAACTGCTAGATGGAAGCATCCTTGGTCCAAGTCTTTGGGTCATCCAGGACCCCTGTTCGATGGGGACATGAACAAGAAATAATCTCCTTCCTTTTTTTCTTTTTCAGTACTGAGGATAAAAACCAGTGTCTCAAGCATACCAAGCAAGTACTCCACCACTGAGCTACATCCCAGCCTTTTTTGTATTTTATTTTATTTTGAGACAGGATCTTGCTAAGTTGCTGAGCTAGTCTTGAACATGTGATTCTCCTTCCTCAATCTCCCAAGTAACTAGGGTTACAGGTGTATGCCACTACATGTGGCTAAGAAATAAATGACTTATTTTTAAGTAACAGACTTGGTGCTATGTTTGTAATTGCAACATGTTTTCACTGAAGTATAGCCTAGCACAGACTGTGTAGTGTGTACTAGACACATAATGCTATTTCCAACAGAGCCTGAATAATAACCACAAAGAAACATAGCCCTTAAAAGAACCAGATTCAATTGATAATGTTTTAAAAATTTTAATCAAATATTCACACTTATAGGGACTGGGGATTTAGCTCAGTTGGTAGAGTACTTGCCTCACATGCACAAGGTCCTAGGTTCAATCCCCAGCACCACACATACACACACACACACACACACACACACACATACAGAATTCTGTTTTTTAAAAAAATTTATAATTACCAGTTACTTAATGGGAATTTTTTGTTTATTCCAACACAAGATAACTATATTCTCTCACTTTGCTGTGGGCTTTCTATTCTTTTCTGTTTCTATTTTATTCTATTCTATTCAAGAAATAAGAGTATTTCCCCTTCACATCAATGAAGCAGGAGAAACAGAGTATGACTGTGAAAAAAACAGCTGACCTTAGAAAGAGTCCCCTCCACTAACTTGTATCTGAAGACAAAAAGCAACTCCATAAACTAAGGAAATCACAGCAAGTTTAAAAAGGGAACTGAGTTTCTAAGTTAGTGTACTTGAACCACAAGTAATATTCTTACAATTGCCACCTCCTGCTTTTGCTTTTATTTAAAACACAGCCTTTTCAGCAATATGAAACTCCTAAGATGTCCAAGCAGAAGTAAGACTTTTTTAAGAGTAGAAGAAATCATAGGTTGAACAGAACTGTCACATCAAAGAGGTTTAAACTAAGGCTCCATATATTTTCTTATACTCTAAAATTTCCAAGGTTAAAAAAAAATGTACAATGGGATAGACCCAATATCACTACAAGATAACTATGTGTGAGAGCACACATATATCTTTTTCCCCTTAATAATATGTCAGAAATGATAAACTGATGTCATCATTTTCACTGTGGTTTAGTAACCCATTACACAGCCATACAATAGTTTAACCAATCCCCTGTACCTCCTTCTGTTTCAAATTTGGGAATATTTCTGTTTTGATTTAAGAGAACAATATTCTCTCAAGTCACATCTACATCGTCCTCCATTTTACACAAGACCCTCAGCAAAGCATGTCATTCAGGGCAGGCATAGATTCATTGCTAGATTAAAGTGATAAGCTCCCCAAGAATATGGCATGTCAAACAGAATAGTGGATACATTTCTGTTAAGTTTCCAAAGTAAGTTTACTTTTATATGTAAGAGTTCCCTTCTTCTCAGTCTGCAGTCTGAAAGAAGTCATGCTCAGTATTTTTTCAGAGGCCTTTTTCTCTTGCCTGGAAAACTTTATTCCTTCCATTCTAGATTCAAAGCGTACCTGGAAATTTAGCTGTGAGTGTCCACTTGTGACCTCAATGCATGAAGAAATGGGCGTCTACCTCTCAATGTGTCTATCACAAGACACAATCATGGAACCTGCAATTATAGTGGACAAACTGTAGACTAGGGATGTGTCAGGAGTTATGGGGAAAGGGAACAGAGCATAAAGGAGAAAAATGCTTTGTAGGCCCGAAAACTTCATGCAAAGAAAGGAAGAGTGGTAAATAGTGAAGTCTTATAGAGAAGTGTGCATTGTTCATTGTGATTAGAAAGAAATACCTAAAGAAGTCGTTGTCAAGGGCATCTGTGCTATGCTAAGAAGAGGCTTCATGGGATTTTTGAGTGGCCTCTATGCTAAACAATATTTCTTCAATTATTATATCACTAAAAAGTTGGGCAGAAGTTCCTGCTTTGCAAATAATTATTTAATTATTTCCCTACCACTTTGAAAAACTGTCTTCATAAATATTTTTCTGAACAAATATACTTTTCTCTCAATGTGTATGTAGTGGCTGGCACAAGATGCTGTTGTGCCTTGTCAAGTAGTTTGTCCTCGTCAGAGGTACCATGCTCTATCTTCGGTTTTTAAAAGAGATGGTTAGAAAACATCCCTTGCTATAATGATTATTGGACACCTGTCTTTGAAGATATCAGGCTTAGTATAAGCTAGAAAATGTCATAAAAATAAGAATAAATTTTATAATTATATTTTTGCTTTTATATGCATTCACAAGTATTATGGAACAAAAAGAATCAATAGTTATTTATATGTGGTAATTAATAAAAATGAAGGCACACAGAGGTGAAAAAGCATCAGACAATGTGACTCTCTTTGATGAAAAAGTAAGTTTAGCCAGGCGTGGTAGCATACACCTATAATCCCAGTGGCTCGGGAAGCTAAGGCAAGAGGATTTTGAGTTCAAAGCAAGACCCTGTGTCAAAATAAAATATTTTAAAAAGGAGTTGGGGATGTGGCTCAGTAGTTAAGTGTCCCTGGGTTCAATTCCTAGTACCAAAACAAAACCAAAAACAAACAACAACAACAAAAGAAGTAACTTTTTAAAAAAAGCATTGGGACTGGAGTTGTGGCTCAGTGGTAGAACACTTACCTAGCAGGTATGAGGCACTGGGTTCAATCCCCAGCACCACATAAAATAAATAAAGGTATTGTGTCCACCTACAACTAAAAAAAATTTTAAAAAAGCAAAGCATCACACAATGTGACTCTTTTTGACAAAAATGTAAGTTTAAAAAGCTCATTCCAATAACATGTACCATGTCCCAAGTTCCATCTGTAGCACCATGGTGGGCAGGGATGAATTTCAAAAGTAAACTTGAGGAGTTTGACTAAAACTTAAATCTGCTCAAAACCAACAGCCATATTTTAAAGCACCGTGTAATTAAATATGTTTTCAATTACATTACCAAATGAAAGAAGCCAAACATAACTGGATATAATGCATTAGCGTGTATTAGCACCCAAATTTATTCAACAGTCTTCAAAAACAAAAAAAAAATACACACAGTTTTCAATGCCTCCAGATTCAACAGTCACAGCCTCAAATTAACATCTTTTCATGAAGTGCTCAAAAGGAAGTTTTCTTTATTAACCAGAATTTTTTTTTCAGATATCTTCAAATATTTGATTCAACATCAGCAGAAGTTTCCCTCAAAGGACGTATGAACAGAATGGATGGGAGAATGAAAAGGAAAAGCTCTCTCCAAACAAACTGACAAGAAGTTCATTCATGACCTGCCTGAAAACTGGCAGCTATTCTGGGACACATGAGTGAAGTCAATATTTTGAGTCAGCCCTGAGGTCACCATTTTGGGTGATGATGGAACTCCCCAGACTGCCTGGAGTGTGCCACCGCCCTGGAAAAGGAAAAG